AGCGAGTGCTGGAAAATGTTGTGACTGAGCAGGCGAAGAAGCCGCTGACCCGGCGATTCATTATTACGGAGGGGCTTTTCGAAAATATAGGAGATATGATTGACTTGCCCAAGATCGTACGTGGGTCCTATATACTTGCTTCTTGTTTCCCTGCTTATCCGGACGTGGCAGATCGAGCTTGGCCGCCAGTACAAGTTCCGACTCATTCTGGACGAGACCTGGTCTTTCGGCGTTTTGGGTAGGACTGGTCGAGGCATCACCGAGCACCAAAACGTCGACGCTGCGGAAGTTGACATGATCGTTGGCTCTTTGGCGGGACCATTATGTGCTGGTGGCGGCTTCTGCGCAGGCTCAGATGCTATCGTGGAGCATCAGCGGATCTCAGCATCTGCGTACACGTTCTCGGCTGCCCTCCCAGCAATGCTTGCTACCACTGCAAGCGAAGTCTTGTCAATGCTGCAGACGAACCCGGAGATGTTGACTACAGTCAGGGAGAACATCAAGACCATGTGGGCGCAGCTGGATCCTAGGAGTGATTGGGTACATTGTACAAGCTCTGCTGAGAATCCAATCATAGTCCTGACGTTGAAGGCGGACTTGATTGCCAGCAAGAAACTGAGGATAGCAGATCAGGAGCAGCTCTTGCAGGAAGTTGTCGATGAAGTACGTCAAATGCAGGATTGCGCAAAGGGCAAAGAGCATTACTGATCAGCTTCTTAGACGTTGGCAAACGGGGTACTGATAACGAGGCTAAAGAGTATGCCGCGAGCAATCAATGCAACGACCAAGGACATCGGATGGGAGCTTCAGCCGGCACTGAAGGTCTGCGTTACGTCTGGACTCTCGAAAAAGGAGATTGAGCGGGCTGGGATTACCATTAGACACGCAGTCACTAAAATTGTCAATAAGCGGCGATAAAAGGAAGGAAAGGAAAGGAAGGGGAGAAAAGGCAATAGGGGCCATCATCTGGTGGCTTCTTGTTATTAATATGCATTCTCGGAGACGATTGGATCATATGTCTAATATTTTATATACTGTATCATCATCATGTGTGATTTGATTCGATGTTCTCGTGGCCCTTTGCAAAGCAATTCTGGTAATAACGTAGGTAATCCTTTTCCCTGGCCTTTGAAGGCCAAGGTGGTTTCCTTTTGATGTTGGCGAGTGAGCCAGTCAGCCAGCCTACTTTACTTTATTAGCCTATCAGGATGGCCTGGTTCCTGGATCTCATCTTTGGCTCGCAAGCGCGCCGTGCCGCCGTTTTTCAGGACTAACAATTTTAGAATTTTACCATCACTCTGTCCAGTACGCACCCTTTCTTCCTGCCCGTCACCATCCAACAGGCCTAGGCTTGCCAAATTACTTTGGGGCTTTCATGCGATCAATCATTCAGTAGGATAGGATCGCTAATATGCGAAAGGGCACGTCTTGTTTAGGACCGCGTCGGGAAGTTGGAGACGGAATTGATTGAGATAAATCGTTTGCAGGAGAGCGGAGTGCTGTCCCCAAGGCCACGAAGGATACATCTGATAGTTCCAATTGTCAGGCATAGAAATACGGAAAGCTTTGCCATTATGCTCGCATTACTTAGGTATTCATATCGTGATTTGGAACAAGCGCGAAAGAGGGACGGGTTGGGGGAGGGGGCGGCGCCAACGATGTCGCAAGTCGCAAAGGACGAAGGAGGTTTGCGACCCTATTATTGTAACCTACCTTACCTTACTCACACCTCTTCTCAATTTCCTTCCATCATTTGCCTACTTATTTACCACGTCTGATATATTCAACTGCGAATCGTCACTTCGTCATGCGTATGAGGTGAGCGCGATACGCAATCCACCTTCGTTTGATTAGCACGGTCGACACCAGCTACCCCTTGAGGCCATTGACTGCCTCCTCACTATCCACCACCCCTCCCTGCACCCAAGCCTCTCTGGGCAAGCAAACCGTCGCGTTGACGCGCTTCCTCTCAATCTTTCGTCGAACTAATTTTATCAAAACATATCTCTCTTTAAGCCGAAGCCCATTCCTTTCTGCTACAGAACAAAGACGGTGGCTGTCCCTATTCACTTAATACTCCGGACCATTTCAATGCGTCCCTGCATCGCTAACGCTGACAACGTCTGCACATCCCACCCAAGCCTGGACACTTGAGGCCTCATACACGTTTTCCGCGAGCAGGAGCGTTCGAACACCATGAGGGCTGGACTTCTCATAATCGGTTGCGTAGCATTGCTACGGCTATCTACGGCGCAACTTCATGGTATGGAATTGGCCAATTCCGCATCCGGGACAAGGTGCTGACTTGCCATGATCAGACCATCTAAAACATCACCACGCAAAACGACAGGATGTCTGTTCAGATGTTGTCACCGACGTTGTCACTGACATAAAATATGTCACCTATGATTCTGAAGACGTAATCGTGTACGTTAACGACGCAAATCAACCCGTGTCTACAACCACAGTGTACAAGGGACTTGTGCCGCACACCCCGGCGCCAACACCTTCTAACCCTCCAGCGCCTCCCGCCGAGTCGCCTTCTAACACTCCAGCTCCTCCCCCAGAATCGCCTTCGACCCCTCCAGCACCTCCTTCGAAATCGCCCTCTTCGCCCTTGGTAGCTCCCAAGCCGAAGCCGTCGACTCCAGCTCCAGCCCCATCGCCGGTGTCTCAACCCACGGAAGCAATGGCCCCAGCGCCTTCACCTAATCCAAGCCAAAACCCAAGCCCCGAAGAATCTGGTTCAAGTGGTCCAGGGTTCAGCTCCGCCGTTGCTTACACGCGTACGTTATAATTTCCGAGGCAATTCTTCCCCATTCATGCTGTCTCATGAGTTGTCAGGCATGTCTAAAGAGTTCTTCGCTCCTAAGACATCTCTCGCGACTCAGATTCCTCCCGAAAGAGTGATGCTGACTCCGGAATCATCAAGCATACAACGCCGATCAATCCTGCAAAAGCGCTTCCCAAGTGGCGGCTGACTTTCAAAAAATCAGCGGCTATGAGGTAGTACGGTTGTATGGAACAGACTGCAATCAAATTAGCAATGTAATCGCTGCTACGCACAGTAGCGTCAAACTTCTTCTCGGCATCTTCGATATCAATTCCTTACAAAGCGAAGTTCAAATTATATCCTCGGTATAGGTTATTTCCGTATTGTTTTGGACTAATATGTATAATTTTCTTAGTCGCAGGACATACTTCGAGTTGAAGACATGTGCTTCGTCTTCGATACTGCTTACAAGACCTGTCTCGTAATTCAATATGTGTTTTGTGGAGAAATGCTGACTCCGGCATGACCGACAGGCCGTCAACGGGGACTGGTCGCTCGTGAACAGCGTTAGTGTTGGCAACGAGGTACGTGTATTTCGGAGCCGATTCTTCCTATTTTTGTATTGAAGTTGAGTGGCAAGACATGTTTCGGGAGCAAGAGAACCTTCTACTCCCAAGATCTGTCTTTCATTCCCTACCTCGTATAAGCAATGCTGACTCCGAAATCTGCACAGCTGGTGAACACGGGTCAGGCATCTGCATCGCAAGTCGTTGCCGCCCTTGTACGTGTTCTCGGAGTCCATGTCCTCTTTTTGGACCAAATCCTGAGTCTTGAGACATGTCTTGGGAGGTTTTACTCTCAAAAGATGTTTCAAAGCTCGATATCACCGATCAAACAAGCAATACTGACTCCAAAATCACATTCCAGGGCACTGCTAAGGCTGCCCTCAAGGCTGCTGGCTATAACGGGCCAATTGCTACAGTTGATACTATGAGTAAGCATGCTTTTCGAGGCTCTCCGTCTCATTTGGGACCGCACTTCGATTCGTCCGAGATATCGCAGGAGAACGTTCTTATCAAAGTCTAGAATCAAGTCTTTCTAGTCCGAATTTCATATCGAGGACGAAATACTGACTTGAAATCGTCTAGTGGCCATGAAAAACAACATTGAACTTTGCACCGCTTCTGACTTCTGTGCCATCAATTGTCACGCATTCTTCGACGGCAATACCTTGCCCGAGGACGCGGGACAATTTGTACAAAATTGGGTCAAGCAAATTTCAGAAGCTGCAGGAGGGAAGACGACCATCGTTACAGAGTCAGGGTGGCCTCATCAAGGAGACCCAAACAACAAAGCTATACCGAGTCCGGAAAATCAAGCTGCGGCCATTGCCAGCTTGAAAGCGGCTTTTGGTGGCGGCTCAAATCTGGTCATGTACAATTCGTACAATGATCTATGGAAGTCCGATTCGGCGGATACTTTTGGGTCAGTGTTCTTGGCAATGTCATGAGCCGCTTCGCGTACTGACTTCTGACCAGAGCGGAGAAGTATTGGGGGATCTTGGGAGACAGCCCGGGCTAATTTGCTCAGCGTGAGGGCTCTGGCACGCTGAGAACCCAAAATTTGCATCGGATTGTTCTTTCTGTACACGAGCGTACGGAGATTGAATAATTACGTCGAGGGAGAGGTTCTTGCGGCGGCGGCGCACCGAAGCGGTCGGCGTTGCTTTTCTACGGTGTCCTTTGCAAGCTTGATGATCTCTAACACTGGTTCGCTTGGGCAAAGGAGGCTCTCCGAAGTCGTATATACGTCGGCGCGGAAGGCATCTTGTGACTACTATTCGCAGCTAATTGACGCCGATTCATCAGTTTTCGCACTTGTACGGTGTGGCTGACTCTCTATCTCTATGTCGCGGAAAACTTTTGCCCAAGAAGATGAGCCCCAGCCTCAGTTCGTCGTTCCCATCCCTGGTGAGCTCGTGTATGGACGGATGCTCCCCACCCATGGGGTAAAGCAGGGCTGTTTTTTCATATTATCAATAAGTCGGACAATCATGCCACTCGGGCAGGAGACAAGTCAGGGTTATCAGCAAAGCTATGGGTGATGACCCACCATGGTAATTCTACAAAGCCATCGCTAGGATGCCCTAACACACAAGACTTTCTGATATTATTCTCTTTCATGAAGTCGTAATCATTGCTTCGTAATTCGTGGTCCTCTCGCGTCGTCACCTGCCCTTCCACTTCCTTCCACCCCCCTTCCGCCACAACCAACTGGCCTCCGTAGCCGTGACCCAAACGCTCCTATTTCCTCCCTCCTCGCCCTTTGCAGCCGCCGCCACCATCCCCTCAACGACCCTCCCCTGATCCATCAGCTCCCAAAGCCCCTCACACAAATCCTCCCCTTCCCGCCCAAAATCGCCTCTGCCGAGTCTATACAGTACCCGGCCGAGCGTCTGGTACGCAATACACCGCTGAGCGGGGTAAGCACTGCGCGCAAGATGTGCGAGCTCAGGAATTGTATAGCCAGCGGAGGACGGAGCATGGGCGTGATGGTGGAGACCTTTTGTTGGAGGGATCTGGGCGGAGAGGCGGGGTGGGAGCAGGTGGCCGCGAAAATCGAAGCGGAGAGAGGACGGTGTAAAAGATTCCTGGGTTGCAGAGTACACAGATCCCCTCTCTACTTTAGGGTCGATGGGAGTCATCCAGGCCATGGTGGAGGGGTCGGATGGCAGAGAGGGGAAATAATTTGAGTGGAGGGCGGAGAGGAAGTTGGGATCTGAAGGGTCGAGATCTGGCGGCTTGGGTGGTTGGGGGAAATGCATTTCTGGTGCTGCTGCTGGTGGTAGATGAGTTTGGGAGGCAGGCTGTAGGTCTGGAGGTGGATGCAGGGGTGGAGCGTCTGGATCTGAGGACAGTGGGGGATATGGTCTCGCTGGTTGGATTGTAGGGATTGGGTCATCTTCTACTTCTGTCTCTTCAAATGTAACTTCCTTCGATGACATTTTCGACGGTAAAGGTGCCTCGTTCTGATTTGGGTTCATTTCACCCTTTGAATCATTTCGTCCCTCGTCAGTATTCGCCTTTTTGAGCAGTCTCTCAATGAGTGATGAGCTCAGTCCTTCCATGAGTTCTTTTCTGGTTTCTTCGATCTCCTCGTCGGACATCTGCGCGAGCCGCTGCTTATTCTCTTGGTCAATTGAAGGATCCTTCGATCTGTCCGTCACATCTATTTGTTGCCGACTCGCTGTAGATCCATTCCCATTACTGCTCCCTAGCTGTGCGAGGTATGGTGATGTGATGGTGGGGCCGGCATGTCTTTTTGGCTGGCTGACCTCTTTGGCCTGGTTCTCTCTCCTCTGCCTGAACTTCGAGGGAGCAGTCCTGATCTTGTGTGCTGGGAAACCGGCCTCGGAACCCTTGTTTCTGGGTGGTGCTGGGGGTTTGGCATTTGACGAGGCCGTTCGCTCTTTGATATCTCCTACAAGGCCAAAATTGAAGCCAGGTACCTGCGCTGGTGCGGAGGAGTTGACTCCATCAGACTCCTCGTCTGAGTCCAAAGTAATATGGAAGCGTTGACCGCGCACCGCCATGGTAGACTCGGTATAGAGGATCAGAGTGGTTATACCGCACCAGCGTCCTTGATAGTACTGTATATCGCGAATGTTCGAGTGCGTTATAAGTCAGACGTCAATGCTGTTCAGGATTCTAGCTTGGCGGCCTAAAGCGGCTTAGCGTAACGTTAGCGCTGCAGGCCTAAGGTACCTTACCTTACCCTTGAGCCCTTTAAAATCAAACTCTCCTAATCCTTTCGCCATGCCCTAATTATCTGCTATCAAAGGTACTATTCACCATATACGACCAATTGACATATAGCTTCACCTTGTTCTTACCAAACCGTCCCTCGGTTATTTGCTGGCTATTACTAAACAGTCTCGCTTTAGGGGCAGTGGTCTTGCAAGCAAGCAGTCATCATGGACCATTAACTTTTACCAGATCAAGAGAATAGAGCAAAGAACCGACATACAAAGAGCTTCTGGTCCTCATCACCTTTCTCCTATATCGCTAATCACTCTGTCGGTGGCGTCTTCGAATCCCCGTCTTGCTAGGTCGAATTGTAGCGCGGAGTATGCAGTAGCTAGGGAACGCAAGCTGCGGATTGGCGCTTCGGTCATTGATATCTCTTACTCGTTTTCTCTCCTCTTTTGCTCCATCCTGTTCTTGCTTGCCCGCTTGTGATTGTGGACACACACACAAGCGTGACGCAGACCAATGACGACAACGGCGAGCTCAGCAGATTTGATGCTCATCCTCAAGACTATGGCTTTTCGGGGCTTTATCCTTGAACTCCATACTTGTTGTTTCCTTATCGAGTTGCGTTTCTGCACAAACCGACTATCAATGCAGCCATCCGCACAACTTCCCTCCAGTGCTGGCTTGTGTGAGGGTGTCAGGGAGATGAGCTCTTGTCGGTCAACCTCAGGCCCGTCCATAATTGCAAATCAAGATCAATGTCTAAGCCGCGGAAAAAGGCACAAAGAACAGATAGTCCATGTCTCATGCTGACTTTATCAGGCAGAGTACAGCATGTCTCTTCTCGTCAACCACTCCATTTTTTCTTTTTCCGCCATTTGGCTTTTACAGCTGTCCGACAGTCAATAGCGCAGTGCAACTGCAGCATTGGGATTGACTTTAGATTCTGCAAGCTGTCATTACCTTTTCTGCACCGTTCAGCTGCAACCTTCGACCCTGCATCATGAATGCAAAGTCACGCATCGCCGCTTCATGTCCTTTCAATGTCACGTTTTATGCGTGTGATTTCGGGGAGAGATTCCTTGGCTGTTGCGAAAATGGCAGCCCTGCCAGTACCTGCACCAACGGGTGCCCTCAAGAGGATCTCCTACCAGCAAGTTTCGAAAAGGTGTACTACGACTACGTTACTAGGGCAGCATGTACGAGGGGTGATTGGTGGTCTTGTGCCAATGTATCACCGCCATTCCTAGGCTGTTGCTTGTCCAACCCTTGCCTTGGTGGCTGTCCACCTAGTGACCTGACGGATGCGATTTTCTCCCTAAACCAAACGGACAACCCGCTGTATTCAGCAATCCCCCACGCTCCTGCTGCGGCTTCTTCGACGACATCATCTTCTACTTCGACGGCTGCATCGTCGACTCCAGTCCGGACTACAGGAGCCGCTCATTCTGCCATTACCAATCCATCGCCCATTCAGAAGGATTCGACAAGAAGAGTAGTTGGAGACGTCGTCGGCGCCGTCTTAGCTGTGGGGGTCATCTTCATCGGAGTGCTACTTTTATATCGCCGCCTAAAGTCTCAAGCGTACAAAGGGTCAGATTCAACTGGAACAAATGGGAAGGGAAGCATCAAAGGTATTTTACTGAACAGCCTGACAATTGCGGCTAGTTCCGGTAATTTACATCTCACAGCCACTGTACTAGTACCTGGAAGCCCGACGGTATCAAAAGCTTCTCGCCAAGAGAACGAAGCATCCCATGAATTCCCAACAATAGCCAATCCTCGTGAAGAGGCCAGAGTGCCAATCCGGGCCCCTCGATCAACAAATTTCGCTCCTTGCATAGAGAATAAAATACCACTGGAGAGCTGTTCTGCAACAAGTGGCGCTCAAGAAGATCACGAAGAGGACAAGGCACCGCAAGAGCTTCCTCCAAACCACCCCGCGCTCCCCGAACTCGCAAGTTCGGACCTACCCCAGTCGTGCCACGAGCTTCCGTCATCTGACCTTGCTAATCAAGAGCCCGTCCATCCGAAGGCTTTGCAGCCAGGTAGACCTGGCTTCAGGCCATACTCTGCCTCTAGCCTATCCCAAACCCCGCAGCCATATGGACTCGCATTCAGGCCTCACTCGCCCTCCCGACTATCTGCGGTGTCTTCTCTTGCTAGCTCGCCTCCGTTGGCTCGTGGCCTGTCCCCTGTTTCTGTCACCAATGACGACATTTGTGCAAACGTCTGAATGGACAGCTGCCATAGTTTCAGCGGTCATCAACAACGTCGAGGCAACGTGTCGGGGGGGACGTACGAGGTATGCGTCGATGACGAAGTGAGAGTCATGGGTATTACCAGTTGGAAAGGCATCATCGTGTAGGGTGTCATCAGGAGGGCACTCGTCGGCTGAGAATTATAGATGCTTTTGAAATGATACTATTTACTGGAATAAGAACTATATCCGAGGACGCAGAAACGTCTTTCAAGTCCTTGCTCCGTTGCGTTAGATTTCAAGCCAAGTGGTAGCAAAGCTGCACGTCACGTTTCTGTAGAAATGCCAGTTGTGTTGGAGTAGTTCTTGCCAACAGGTGGTGCCTCCGCAGATTTGCTAGGTACGACGAAATAGACTGCGTTGACAGGTTCTGTCTCCGCAAAAAGTCAAAAGCAATCTCCTCGTAAAACTGGTAAGCAAGTCGTGTCGTATGAACATCGAATACTGCAGGTATGTCACGTCAGCTTTTGGTATCGCATCTTGTCTTCGCCTGAATCACGGTAAATCCGTTTGCTTCATTAGCATGACGACAATCCGTGTCATCTAGAACATTAAAAGCCCCTTCGTCTCCAAATGCCTCCTCTTTGGCATTGGCGTCCGACTCGTTGTTCTCACCGTCGATCATGAGATCCTTGAAAGCAAAGCGCCCTCCCGGCATGAATTTGACTTTCCTCTACTTGGTGACGTCCTTCTTGGGTGTGGAGTCTAAGTCATCCTCTTTTGTTTTTTTGATCCTGGGTTTCTTGACCTTGGTCTGGTTCTTGCCCATAACCTTGGAATCGGCCGCCGATTACGATTCACCCCTTGAGCCTCTCTCCTCATCTTCTGAATGGTCGACCCAGCCTTCCTTCTTGTCTTCTTTGGATGAGGGCTATGATTATCCCACCTCGTCCCACCCTTTGATGCAGGGGCTCCTCATGAGATCCATGACAGCACAGTGACAACCATCGCCATTAGTTGGGTGCTTGTCCCAGGCGTCTCTCGTAGTCTATTGTTGGATATGATCAGCGGGTTGCACTCGACTGGCTTCCTCTCCTCGTGGCTCGGATTGAGATACAAGGGGTTTCGCTGAAGAGACGTAGATGCTGCTCGTCGGTCACGCCCGACCGCCGCTCTGACGACTTGCTTAACATCCTCGCGTGACGCATAGTTCATATATACCTAGTTGTGCCGCCACTGGCTCTACGAGGATACTTTTTCGGGTGGTGCTTGATGGATGGGTGGTACGCTCGAGCCTCCGCTTCATGGTACTCCTCATGCTCGTGGCGGGCGGACCTAATAACAGCGCAAACTCTGTCTCTCATGACGTTGGTGATACTGAGCTGCTTGACTTCTCTCCGAGGATTGCAATTTTGCAATCTTTTGCCGTAGGCTTTAGCGAGCCGCTTCTCATTCTGACGAAAACGCTTTTCCTTTGGCATTCCGGTGGTCCCAAGCCTATTCGGGTTCTTGATGTTACTGTGCGGATTGAGACACTCCTATGAGCAACGCACGCTGGAATATTAGCAGTGAGCGAAGCTGTCCATCTTCAATGTGCTAACAATTGACAATAGCGATGTTCGCAGGGGTAAGATGTTCACTTCTGTCATTCTCCCACAACCAAAATGAGTCAACAGAATAGGTAAGCTGTCCATCTGTGTTCCTTCCAGAAGCGCAGACGGCGGGAGTCGAAATGAGGTGCCATCCATATGATGACCTCTATAGAGCCAATCGGCGGTTTCGAAAGCTGAGCCTGTCCGTGAACAGTATCTTCAGAGGTTTAGGCAGCGGGAGTTGAAGCGAGATGTTGTCCGTATGATGACCTGAATGGAACTCAGATGGTGGTGTTCGACATTGCAGGCTGTTCATGCGTACTACCCCCGGAGTGGTGAGCTGTCCATATCGACGACTCCTTTAAATGACATGGCTGTAACCATCTCCAGGAGAAGAGTGTCGGCTGTCCATGTGCATAGTTTGCGAACTTGGAGCTGGAGAGACTCCTGTCCACATGTGTCGTCTTGGGACAAAAGAGAATGATTGCCTATGCTCGTCATCTTGGGCCATGCGGTCGATATGCATTATCTAAGGATCTTCGATCTGAAAGCATGTTGTCCTCGTACATCCTCTCTGGGGTTTGAGACATGGCTGTTCTCATGCGTTTGCGCAACCACGGGTTTGTACCAGATGCTATAGACAGTTGAATGGAGAAGGAGATGCCTGGTGGCGTACATATACAAGTATTGTTGACATGTAACATATAGTGAAGGTTTCGTGACTCGCCGTGCTGGCTTCACACAGGGAATCTCACTAAGGTAGCTTTATTTAGCTGTCAGTGACGCTCCAGTTGTGTGCAAGGCAGATGATCAAATGACGCCGATCTGTCGCACCCGTATGGCACGAGAGTGATTTATATGAGCGGGAAAGTTCTGAATTTAGAGGCCTCAGCGTCTATGTGATGCAGCAGCAAGAATGATTTCACGGATTGTTAGACCTCTGCACAAAAATTGAGAGAGTGCTTCATCGTTCAAAGAGGAGCGAAATTTGTCAGTCCAGACTTGATCCCAATCTACTGCAGCGGACAGATGTGGAGCGAACCATTCAATAGGATTCAAACCGAGGACAATCGTCAGAGTATCAATTACGACATTTGAAAGAGTATCTATCTATCGACATGGTAATAGGAGTAGTAGGCAATCCCGAGCATCTCCTAATTATGCTTGATTCCGTTGGAGGAAATTTTTGCGTTGGCAACTATAAGGATACCTTATGCGTCTTCCCATTCAAAGTCGTGTCATCTCGTGCGCCGATCTATGATGGATGAGGAGGTTTAGATACAAGGAGGGATGAGATGAGCATTTCTGGTTAATGTAGTATAATCACAACCTAAGCTTCTGATGAAGTGGCAGGAGTTGGTAGGAGTAAAGGTAGATATACTTATTGAAAGGTAAGGGAATAGCTCCAAGAATAAGGTACTCTGAAGGTACCTTAGGTACAAGTAAGTAAGGTACTGGTGTACCTTAGTTTTGTAAGACGGAAAATAAAGTTTGTCGGGAAGGCTAGCTAAAAGTCGTTATTCTTCTTTTTTTAAAGAATTAAGCCGCTTTACGCGACGCCACGCTACCACAAAGCTCTTAAAGTACTTAAGTACTCTAAGGTAAATCCCTGCGCTGCATATTGGCGGGAAGGGAAGCACTTCACGACGACCCAAGATATCTCATCCAAGGCAGCATCAATCAGAGACTTGACTATCAGAATCTTTGATATTGATTAACCGATATCTATATATAGATAGATATCTCGATCGATGAACTGGAAGGGTGCAAGAAATGCTTGCGTCAAGGACGATAGAGGCTCTGCTTATGATGATCTGCAGGAAATTCCACGACCCCGGGACTATCTTTGGCGAACAGATTAAATCCATGTAATTGGTTGGAAATTGGAAGGAGTCAGCAAAAGAAAGGCTTGCCCCCATCTCCCCCCCCCCCTCCCTTGGGTCCCTAGGTTCTTGGTTACGAGGTTGCGTCTTATTAGAGGTCTGATGGTGTATGAGGATAGAGCTTTGCCCTTCTAGTCTTCGGCCAACTGAGGTGCTCACGTATTTCACACACTGTTCCTTTCCTTCCTTTCCTTCCTAGGCCGCCGGCAGATAGCCAGCCTGTGCCAATTCCACACGGGCAGTAAATCATCTAATTAGCTCCACGGTGAATCCAGAGTCCAGAATCCAGAAATTCAGATGATGTGTTCCCCCCAGTCTACCGATGCTTTTAAGTCGTCTGTGCTGTGTCAAACCTACCTAGTAGTGCTTGCCTCCTTCCGCCCAAAGAATTTGAACCAAGCCCCATATCCCCCAATTTTTCTACCATTCTCATCCTTTCTCTTCTCACTCTTCTTTTTACTCCTTCATCCGCCGCCCATCTTCCTGATTCTTCCCTTAACACGCCTTCTTCATACTTCGGAACCCCCAATTTTGAGGTGTATGCTCGGCTAATCTATCCAGAGCTTCGGTAGACAGAGTTCAAGATTGCACTCAAGCCTTAGATCCGTCGCCCACTCCCCTTCAAACCCACCGAAGGCCTGTCATCGCACTTTTGGAAGCTATTGCGACGTTCACAGTGCACAACGTGTCATCACCGTGACCGGCCCAACCATAACAAAGCCGTCTCGGATATATTATCAGGCTTACACTCTTCACCTCACTTTCCTCCTGTGACCTTTTTCTTTTCTTTTCACTCTTCTTGCGTCAGAAAATTCGGTGATTGTGGTGGTTGTGGAGCAAGATGTCGGCAGCAAGAGAAATTCATGCAAATCGCGGGGAGAGCACCTCGCCCGGTCTGTCATCTCCACCCTCGCCCAATTCGCCAACACGGCAAACGGCAACACCAACACACTCTCATATTAATGCTGCCTCGTTGCCCCCAAATGTTCAGATTGAAGGAAATGATGGAGGAGGATTGAAATCGGCAAAATCCATCGGCGCTAAAACTGCAGTTGCCCCTCTAAGGAAACCTCGCAAAAAGAGAGACCCTGAGAGCAAACCGGCAAGCGGCAACAACAATAACAGCAACAGCAACAGCAACAGCAACAGCAACAACAACAACAATGAAAATGCATCCACTGCCACTGATGGTCAAGAACAAATACCCAAAAAAACTCGTGCTGCCAGAGGTACTTCGGAACACTTCAAAAGAAGGCAACAGAAGCAGCTTGAGCAAAACCAGAGCGCAAGAGAAGCTGAGGCGCTGCAAGTCTCCCGCCAACTCAAAATCACTGAGTCTCTTCCCCCCAGATCCCCGCTCCCGCCAACAAATATTGGTGTTCCTGCTATCCACCCCGCACACCAAAACGGAAATAGTGAAGCTATTCCCACAACCCAGATTCATTCTCACCAAAATATCCTGCCCACTACACGACCAGCGAGTGGCCAAAATTACGATCCAATCAGATCTTCTACTGTAGCGCCTCGCCCAAGCTCTCCATTGGTAACAACACCTACGCCCCAGAGGCCTTACAAATTTCCCAGCGCGAGTGCCTCGCCCTCCATACATAGTATGATCGAGCAAACAAGTACACCGCCTTTGTACTCGTACCCTCAGCCACCAAAACGCGAAAATGACACCAGAGCATCATCGCCGCCTGAGCCAAAGCGACCGCGCTTATCTCCACCTTTGCCTGTCACCACCCAACAGCCCGCCGGCCCTTCACCAAGAGATACTGTCCCTGCAATATCGAATACATCAACTTCTAACACAATCATCGTAATGGACATCGACACAGATGAGCCTAGCGCACCTGTCAACAAGACCAGCACCAACATCAAGAAGCCAAGCCCGAATGCAAACACCGCTGTCTCATCTTCATCCCATTCACCCAAACCGGCTCGTCCCAAAGAGACCCAGGTTGCTATCTCCTCAGGCAGCGGTCTTCTATCTGGCTCAATCTTCGGCGGTGGCATTGACAGTACCGGACCAGAGAAGACTGCGCCAACAGTCGTTCTTAATGTGCCTCTCACTGGCGAAAATCAATACGTCAATTTCACTCGCTTGGCCGAAGAACGATACGGCTTCAACGCGCTGCATCCCCGCCTGGCAGCGCAGCGCGAACGACTTGCTCGAGTTGCTGCAGCGGGCGCTGCTCTCGAGAACGCCAATAAGAGTGGTGGTAACTCCGGCTCGGGCGACGAAATGTCTGTCGATCTCTCCGACGGGGAAGCTGACAATAGCAATGTCGAAATGGGAGGAGTGAATGATGGCGAGAGGATCCAGAAATCTGGGGAGGAGACTGGTGAAGGCGGTGTGGTGAAGAAGCCGAGGAAGAGGACGATGAAGGAAGACATGTACGACAAGGAAGATGACTTCATCGACGACACGGAGATGATTTGGGAGGAGCAAGCTGCTGCTAGTAAGGACGGATTCTTCGTGTATAGTGGTCCTTTGGTTCCTCCGGGACAAGAGCCTCAGGTTGAGAGGTACGTGCCACCGTTTTCCAGTCCATGGACCATGTACTGACCTTTTGCAGGGCCGATGGCCCACCAAAACGTGGTCGCGGTACTGGACGTGGGCGAGGAGGAGCTGCAAGAGGCGCTACGAGAGCAGCTGCGAACCCCAAAGACGGAGCGAAAGCGCCAGGGCGAAAGCCACGTGTTACCAAAGCGGCCAAAGAGCAAATGGAGAGGGAGAAGGCTCAGAGAGAGAGCAGCCTGGCTGTCCTTGCATCGAAGCCTGCGCTTACACTTGCTCCGGCTTGAACGACTTCAAACTGTGCCAGACCCTTTTCAACATAGACGCCCACTATCAGTGTCGGCCCTGCCATCGAGCTTTGACATACTGTATCACCATTGAGATTTGACTTTCAGCTGCATGGCCTTCTCAGCTCGAGACTGGTGGTCTTCGTTTATGGTCACCCCCAGCCGCTATTGAATCAATCGTCCGTTTGCCTCGGAGCATCGATCCACTGTATAATTACGTCGACGGGATATCCTTTTCTCGCCACGAGTAGCTAGATACCTGAATAGGTAAGGCTTTACTGAGTTAGGGGGAGGATTGTACGATACGAGCTCGAGGTGATTGAGCCTATGACAGTTCCTATGGCCCTACGACCAGTCATTTGGTCGACGACAGGTTCCATAGCCTACGAAGTGTACTATGTTTCCCCTCGTTCCTTCTAACATTGCCTTTCTTCTCATGAGCGAGCATGACATGCATGTATGTAATGATAGACGCTTGCATAGATAGCTTGACAGAAAAGTAGGAAATTCCCCGACCGTGATTGTGCAGTGCTTAGTCGCCCATGCAGCACTTGGGACCAGATTTGGTTCTCTGTATACTTGGTCTCATGTGTGCCGTTCCGATTTGTCTTTTATTGTAGTGGCGACCTTCGCTCTATACACCAAATCCGCTTTTTTGTACTCTGCCATTACACCACTGCATCTACAAAACTGCTTTCTCACCAAAAGTAGCTTGAGATCCAAGACACCTGTCATTTCGCCAACTCATCTACGAACCCTTAACCTTCTACGTCCATCTCTCCAGCACGAGCAACCAAGGCAGCTGCTCCACGACGGTTTTCTCTCGCTCCAAGCTTCCACCTCACGGAGCACCCCAACCCACACACCACTTCAACCCCCTCCACCCCAGAACCGCCAGTACAACCCTCCCCGCCGCACCCATCGCCTTCAACCTCCCCGCCTGACTCGTCTCCGCAGACGCCGTGCTCCCAGAAGACCCACTCCCACTCCCACTTCCCCCGTAAACCCCCGCCGGCGGATCGTTCTCACTCGGCTGCGTCCCCTCGCTCGCCAGCGGGCAGCCAGGCGCGGGTGTGTAACCGGGCGGAGGCGCATAGGGTAAGAATTCCGTGGGTGGTGTGGGACATGTGTCGGCTTCCAGGGCGTGCGGGAGGATTGACGTTGGGAGATGGGCTAGTGCTGGGGGATGGATTTTTGACGTTTGGTTTGTGTTGGGTGCTGGTATTGAGGTTGTGAGGAGAGGGAGGGTGAGGGTGTTGGTAAAGAGGAAGATCATCGTGTTGAAGTGTAGGGAGAGCATTGTGGATTGGCAAGGGCAATGGTGGTTTTGAGGTGAAAGCGTTTGCTTGGAGGGCATGCTCGGAGCGAGGTGGGAGGAAGGAGGGTGATGGTCTCCAGAGATATGGGAGAGTCGATGCGTTGAGGCGGTGTGGGCTTGTGGAAAAGCCAGCCCAATGAGAACTTGCATAACCATGTGCCGAAAGTGAAGCGTGGAGCGCATTCATGCTATTGAATTTGAGACATGGGATTGCCACACTGTTCATGCAGGTTCCTGAATGCTATTGATGCAGCTTTCTTGAATAGGAACTCGAATGCCAAGCCTCTTCGGCGCTGGTGCCCAATCACCAGAGTGGTCAAAGGGTGGAGCGCACAGCTCAACCGACAACGCATAAAATAATAGTGATAGGGTGAAGCGGGTGAAGCAACCAACAAGGAGTAGGATATGTACCTTAGTAAGTAATCTTTCTATGACAAGATACAATCACGTAAATGTAAATCTTTCATACACTCGCCACCACAAAGCCATATTAGCAGCAACTATTAGATCTAGCATCTGCAAACCTTCCTTCTCGATTATCAATTTGCCCAACTTCGCTTGCTTTCCTCCGAACCCTCCACCGGCGTGCTCTTGCCCAAGCGACAAATCTAGACGCTCTTCAAACTCGACCTTGGGCGCAAAATACCCGGCTTCATGCCTATCCTTGGCTTCAAAGGAAGAGGATGAGCGCTGTCGATGTTGATGCGGGAACAAAGAGGACGAGCGTTTGGCCTCTCTTCGGGTTCCAGGCACGAGGCTTTTCGAAGCCGGAGATCCGAGTGTCTTTGAGCTTGGCAGATTGAAGCGCAATTCACTGACCTGCGCTGAACGCATCCCTGGTCCAAATCTTGGACTCGAAGAGGCATACGAATGCTTGCATTTGAAAGATCGACCTGCCACACCTGTCGTGAACTCACAGATACCATCCCAAGGGCTTCTTAATATGTAACCCTTTGTAGATTCCGACTTTAACTCCGGCAAACCATTTGTAAAAGAACGATCTGATGCTATAGAATCCAAGCTCTGGTGGCTGTGTCTCGGAAGGTCGACGCTTGGTCGTGTTCCCTGATATAAGAACGTGGAGTCAATGGACTCGGGTCTGCGCCTTTGGTTCCAACTCATTGCATGTCCGGGTACTTGCAGATGGCGTTGAAAACAAAGTTGCTCTTCTGCAGCCGTGATGGTCGTGCGATTGTCACGAGTCCCCTTTGACTTCTCCGTATCAGGACGTGCGTGTTTGGCGAATGAATTGATGTGATCAACGAATCTCAAGTATCCGTGCGTCATAATGTGAATAGATATTCCATGGCTGGATTCGCCAAATCCACTGACTGTAGGCTTTGTGTCCTTGCTCGATATTTTGCCAACAGTCCATTGCTCGTTGTTATAGCGTCTGATCAATGACAGCGTGGCGTCCTGTAAATCCTTAGCATTTGACCCATCCTTCGTTACCCTCTTCGAGCCCTGCGAAACAGAGTGTGCTATTGGTTTGCGGTGTAAAAATCTAGAGCGAACACTGTTTGCAACGAGGGAGTCTTTCAAGCTCGCTGCAAGAGGTCGAGGAGGAGCCATTGGGACGCTGTTGTTGCCTCCAGAGAATGGCCGAGGAGGCAACTTCGGAGGTGTCCCGGCAGGCTGCTCTGACCACCTCCTCAGATCAATATTTTGCTTCTCGGGAACATCCTGGAGAGGTGGATTGTCAACGGAAAGAAAGTGTTGATGCATGGGACGCGGCCCAAGAAGCTTTCGATCTGGCAGCGGTGGGCTTACATCCAAGCGTCGATGCTCGGCCACGTTGTCCTGGCTCGAAGGTTTTTGTTCAGCTTGCGGACTGCCTGTTGCGCTATTGGAATAAGTTTGGAAATAGGAATTGGCTTCTGGCGGAGGTTCAAGACGATCACCTAAGCCAAGCCTCGAGCTTGGTGGCAGCGGTTTCCTCCGGACACCACCTGTACTGGTGGGGTTTACAGGCTTTCCAGGACCATCCTCCTCGTCAGAATGATGTTCGGAGTCCTCAGAGGAGGTGAGAAGCTCATAGTCTTCTAGCTTGTCCACATGCATGTAGTAAAGCGAGCTCTGCACGTCTTGGGCGGTAACGACCTTTTGTTGAGGCTTCATGGTAGTAAGGAAAACATCTGGCGTCTCCATTAGCTCCATGTTTCTAGCATCGGGTACCGAGAAGCAAATACCGTGCGATCCAGGCACTCGTGCGATGTAGAGCACAAGCGGCTGTTGCAAGTCGCCCGTCAAGCTGTGTAGGGGCTGGTCTGGTGGATTATCTGCAAGTTCTATGACTGATGCTAGCGATCCTGCCTGAATTGGTTTGGCCATTGAAGATTGACGAGGTATACGCCGAATCGCATTGGGTGATTAGACATATGCGAGCGATGAGAAGCTCCAGATGTCAAGGAGCTGCGATTTTTCTCCGATGACACGATATAGATGCCTGAACATGATTAGGGCTAATGCTGCGCCATCTAGAGTTGCGGAGCAGTCCTCGCTGGTCAACAAAGCTGCAAGATGCCAAGTGAGTAAGCCTTTGATACATGGCTGAGGAATTTCTGAGATTTTGGATAGGGAAGAAGGTACATAATGTAAGATTACATTATTGGTGTCGATGCTTACCGAGACGAAAATAGCGACGAGTACTCTAGAATAATAAGTGCAGGGCTGCCCCGCATGCAGGGTCCAACGAGCCCACCTCGTGGTCGATCGCCTACAACCCAAGTGACTCCGCCTCCAACTGTGCTTTGTCCGCACTATGGGGCTAGCAGATCGAGCGTGGATGCTATTATTGGCTTCGACAGCGAGGAAAATGCCTCAGCAAGCTCTGTACGAGTCAAGACGGTACCAGGAGAGTGGCATATATAAGAGCGTTCTGATTTCTCTCTTCTCATAATCATCTCCTACCAAAAGACATAAAACATTTCATAACTAGCTACATGACCGTGCAAGCAAGACCAAGCAGACAAACAAGCTCAAGCACATCTCCTCCCAGTGGTCATTATGGAAGGCAGTTTCCCATCCGTGAATTACCCTCTCCACGGAGGCTCTCCTGAAGCGAGCTCCAACCCGCCTCAGGCTTCTTATCCGCCTATGAAGACCTACCAATCCCTCCATCTGAAACAAATATCCTCAAAAGCCCAAATTCTTACCTTCGACCAGCCGCACCCAGCCCATCCAACCTACAGTATCGAAACAACCAGCACCTCTTTCCTAGGACACAAGCCTGATCTTGCCATCTCCCGCGAGCACAACAACGTCTCTCAGAAGGTCGCAGAAGGAAACTTTGAGAAACACAATCCCGTCTCCAAGATTAAGTATCGCGACTTGAAGAAGGTAGAAGAGCTTCGGCTAGAGGACCACCAAACCCAACGCACTATCGGAATCATTGATGGGATGCCATGGGGCTGGTGGCAGCCATCGCAAGTGGACAACTTGCTGGTAGAAATAGTGGCTCCATCGAACGAGCTCATCGCTCGCTTCGTCTACTCGAACGATCATAACTTCTCCGATAAGGTTATCAAGTTTGGCACCGTGCTAGGGGAGCTCCAGGTCGATGAGCAGTATGCCAGCAACCAAACAGTACTGGACCAGGTTGTGTGCATGACAGTCACTTTGGTCGAGAGGGAGAAGCGACGACAGCATAAATTGAAGGGAGAGGCAGGGACGGCTCCAGTGGCAAGCTTGAAGGCGGGAATCACTCACCCCAGTAACCTAGAAGTCGACGGACCTGCTCTTCCGTACGATGACGGAGTCATCCGCTAGAGGCAATCGAGATGGGTCTATTGGCGGCCTATGAGGTGAAATGGGTTGGGGTTCACTGAGGTGGTAGCCTTGGCATGGACAAGCTGACACCTCTGTACGAACAAGAGTGGAAGAATGAATGAAGGAATAGCTAGCTCAGGAGATCTAGTCATGGCAATGTACTTTATGATTTGCAGCATCACAACGGCTGAAACGTCTTCTTCCTGAAATCATCGATCGAACACATCATTGATGCCGGGAGTTTTTGAAGGCAGGTTGTAAAGCATCTTGTTCAGCCCTATGGAGAGCTTGGTAAATAATTTTACACCTTGCCTTTAGAGTACTATCACTCTTGTGCCAGAGTTCCAAAACCCGTAGAGAAAATATTCCAGCCATGGTGAGAGACACACAAGTGTTTAAGAAATTTGCAATGTTAGCTCACCATACTCCCCAAGGGAAAATCGAAGAAACCGAAGCCAGAGCCCAAGAGCCCGAGTCCAGCAACATCCTCACGGGCAATCACGGAGTCAGAGGAGCCTGTTAGTCCAGCAGAAGACCCCACAGCGGAGGTATATCCTCTAGAAAGTCCCCTCCGTCAAGCGAGAATAAAGATTTCTGACCGAATCGCAGGCCTCACCACCGCCCAAAGAGGATTTCGAATCGTACTACATCAAACGGGTCACGGCGGAATTCGCAGACGACATCGACAAACTGCGGAATGCCCCCGATTTTAGCGAGGAATCTGTGCCGGTGTTGATCCAGGCGCTGAAACAGGGTTCGAAAGGGTTTAGTGATGAGGACAAGGAGAAAGTAATGAGAGGGAGGTAGAAGCGGAGTGGCGTTTCTTTCATGTTAAGCGAGAGCTTTTTTCCAAAGTCAACCACTGAGTACCTATTGTCCAAGTCTACATATCGACTTTGAAATGGAGCCGTGTAAATTGCAACAAAGAAACAAAAATAAAAATAAAGCTAAAAAACCAAAACAAATTTTTCTGCATAAAGCAGTGTGTTTTCCAAAGATTGATTATCGGAGAATTGGGACATCGGCACGGTCACTTCTGGTAAAAGGCAAGGAGTGAATTCGTTACCGCGTTCCCCTCCATGAATAATCTGGACTTAAACTAAAATATAAACATTATATTGAAAGAAGGTGAATTTCCTTGATTGAGCGACAAAAGTTGGTTCGCTTACTACGCTGAAACTGGCAGACTCAGGACTTGGTCTGCTTGGCTCATGCAAAAAGCACAGGGGTTTGCACGTCAGATAACTTGACCCTTGTTTGCAGACCAGAAACATTCTACTTGAGCTTGTTCAATCATATACTACTGGGGCTCAAGACCGCCACATTGCTGCTTATTATGAAAGTCTGACTTATCGCAGCGGTGAATAGTCAGGAGTTCGATGCCTTGATTATGACTACCTATTAGGCTATGTACACATCAAATCAGACATCTCTGTTGCATGCCAGAGCTTCACGTTCGAAGCCTCTTCTCTTTCTTTACACCCTTTCATGACATCATGCTTGGAAAGCATCGGAAATCGCCTGTATATTCGCCACGAGTCTCGAAATGCCCAGACCGGAGCAGCTCTATCACGACTGCTCCAATGTAATCCCGTATGCACAATTGCCAAGCGAATGCGGTGGCCTCTATGTGAAATGACCCGAACCTTATTTACTGAAGCGAACAGGAAGTATGTAGAAGCGAATGTTCTCTGAATATGGAGGCGGATGTCTAGCTGACGAACGGATTGTTCTATGCGAGGCTGGGTTGCAGCGTTATGGGCGCGGCCCAGTTAGTGCAACGGATTAAAAATTATATAAAGAGAAGCCCGGTCGTATCCAAGAAGTGGGCCAGTGTATGTACGTGTTGGGAAGCCTTTGTCGTTTGTCTACAAAGATACATCCGCTCGCTCGCCCGTTCAATGATGCGTGATCGTTAGCCGTAAACTCGGCGGTATGACGGCGCCGAGAGATATCTTGTTGTATGACGGAAGAATTTCATCGCTGAGCTTCAGAATCTGAGTGAGAAGCCAGAGTCGCGCCTTCCCAGGAATCGCTCTCGTCGATCGGGCTCCTCGAATCAGACGACACCGACGACGATGAACCAACGGTCCAGTCGTCAGCGTCCTCTGTCCCCGAATCAAGACTTATATAGCCTTTCTCTGCTGGGTCGTCCCCAACCTCTACGAAATCGTAATCCCAGCGAAGGAATTTGTTTGGCTGTTGACGTGGCAGAAACTTGGACTTGACAACATGGAAGATGACTCCAGAGACTAAAGTCCGTAAGCAAGAGTATGAAACAATGGGCAAGCCAACTCACGTAGACTGCCTCCCACCAGATCTACTGCGTAATGATGTGAAAGGTACATGGTCGCCCACCACAACCAGAGCGTATACAACGCGAAGAGTGGAGTAAGTCGGGGGAAAACATGACTCATGAACAGTGCTTCCATCACAGCGCTTCCAGCATGTAAAGAAGGGAAAGCGCCAAAGACCATGGGCGATCCGGTAAAGCCAGGAGTGTACAGTGCGATCCCAAACAGCTTATCGATAGCCGCCAATCCTGCTGGTGAGCCATGTATTGAATAGTTGGCGGGCGCGAGTCCATACATGTTCTCATACCACGGCGGAGAGCATGGGAATGTTAGTTGTATCGCCACCCCAATGAGGTTCATCCAGCCAAAGCTTTTTGCAAACATGGGCACCGTGCCTGGGGCTGCAAACACGAACATGATAATTGAGCATACAGCTGGCGCTCCAAAATGTATTATGCCATAAGGTAGCCATGCCATGATGCTGAGGAAGGTGCTCGTGTGTGCCGAGAGGATATTGCTCAAGTTGGCCCCGTAGAATATATTCTCGAGCGCTGGGAGGACCCGGACCCAAATTGGAGGCCGCCAAGTGCTCGGTATGAACCTTGGGGAGTGTAAGTTAGCCTGTGGTTCAAAAGATAAGCCCGTGCTTTGCGCTCCGCAACAATGCGGGGAGGCACCCGGTCGGTGGAGATGGAAAGGCGCAAACACAAGAAGAAAAGTTCTTACCCGCAAGCATAGAAGAAAACCAGCCATGACCATATAGCCAGAGAAGGGAGGAGAAATTGGCGAGTGACGGGCAGTATGAGGGCAGCGATTATTAGGGTCGCAAGCGCAGTCTTGATCAATGGACCGGGCGATGGTATGATGCATAGGGAGAATATTCCGAGTACGATGAGTATAAGGTATTGGCCATCATAAAATGACCACCGATGTACGCGTAGCGATTCTATAGTGTCGGCAGGCGAGTAAGAGGTCTCCAGGTTGCCGAGGGATGTTGAAGGCGATTGTCGGCTTCGCACTTTTGACCGCAATTTCCTTCGTATGCGATGGGGTATTATGGTGGGTATCGAAGGTGCCCAGGAGAAGGGTAGCAGGATCTTCGAGTAGGTCTTTTTGAAGTCATTCCGCGAAGGAAAAGTGGACTTCCTCATGTTCCGGAGGCCTGCCGAAGCACAGCCGGAGAGGCGGTTGGGCCCCTTCCTTTTGCTACAGCGCGACGGCCTCTGAACTTTTCTTCTTCTCTTTTTTTCGCGGAGGAAGAATTAATCAGTGAAATGTAGGGTGTGAGAAGATGGAGAAGAGGTGAAGAGATTGGAGTGAGTGGGTGGACAGAAGGGAGGGATGGAGTTGTGCTTTTGGTAGGAGCAAAAGATTTGGAGTTTTGGAGTCGGATGATCTACAAGTAACTAAGTTAAATCGCGGACATTCGGTTCGCAAAAAGCCGAAAACGTCTTGACGGCCAAGACTTTGCGGGGAATGTTCCGGTTGTTCATTTGTTCATTTGTTTATTCTTTTCTTTTTCTTGTAAAAGAAGAGAAAGTAGAATGTGGATTGTGTTTTGACTTTGAAAAGAAAGAGCAGAAGTCAGAGTCAGAGTCAGAGTCAGAGTCAGAGGAAATCCTTCGGGGATGCGTGATTTAATAAATCAATAATTAATTAGGTATTTTATTGAAAGCCAGCTGCAAAGTAATTTCAGCGGCACGGTCGGCTTCAAAGCTTCACAATCAGTATATCCATGTCATCTAGTCAGTACTTTAGTCAGCGGTCAGCGCCAAATTCCCTCGATCCTTCAACACAAACACTTGACTTCGCATATCTCTTCCCTCATCATCCTACTTGTATCTGGAAGCGGTCTCCCCTATTGTGACGTCCTTTGTACGAAAAATCAGCATTATTGTGGCACGAACGAAGCGAGCGAGAAAGCGATCGTCATGTCTATCTGAGCCTCACCGAAATGATGAATGAAACGCGCAACTTCAGCCTTATGTTGTGCATCTCTTGGCAACATGTGAATTTCCGAAAATACCCCCTTCACCCCCTCCTTCTTAGATACCTAGATGTAAGCAATCACGCGACCTATCGAACAGCAGACATTTCACCTATCACTACTTTTCGCAACTTGTACGATACATGCAATGTGCATACACAACCAGGTACCATAATGGCAGACCAATCTACAACAACGTCCTGGTCGAGTTGCACCCCAGGTCCATAACCACCGTAGGCAAAATCATGTAACGCAATGTGCATTCTGCTTATCTGCTTCCTATCTACCGCTAATGGTACATTGAATTGTCTGTCTGTGACTTTGAAGCCTGCAACAATTGCGAAAAATTGGGCCTAAGGAGTGTCTGCTGTATCTCAAACATGGAAGAAATCAGTTGAAAGTGATCAACTGTCATCCTCACTGCAGGGACCTCCCGCAGAGGCAGTCCCCCCAAGCGCCTTCTCATTCTACATTTCAACACGTCCCTCACTGTATCTCGCCGTCCAACGCCAACGCTAAGATCATGCGGGTTTGGAACGTTGTTCATCGGCGAAATGATGTAGTTGATCTCAAATTCTAGCTGCCGAAGAAGTCGGTGGAAAAGGGGTCATTGGAGTTGCAGGCATCCTCGTATCCGCTATCTGGCACCGACCCACCACCAAAGCCTGTCATCTCGAGCTCTGCGTTGAAGAAATCGTGAAATTCTGTGTTCGCCTCCTTCGTATGTTCTGCTTTGTTCAATGTAGATGACAAGTCGAAGTCTTTCTTGAAAAAATCTAGGTTGTCGTCAAAAAGCACAGGTATTGACTGGGAAGAGTTGGCGTCAGAGCTGCCTTCAAAGTCGAAGAATTTGGACGCTGCTGGTGATGATGAAGAGAGGTCCAGCTCCGGAGGAGTGCCGAAATAGCTTGTGGAACTCTTCCGGGATCCGGAGTTGCTCTTCGGAAACTCATGTTGCTCTTCGGAAGTTCCAGCAAGCTTTGGCGAAGGGCTCATGCTGACGGCCTTTGGGGTGTGCGAATGCTGGGAATGCTGCGACGAAAAGCAGTTTCCAGTGCTGTAGCTTGGCGAAGTGGGTGGAGTGTATGAAAAGAGGTCTCCACAGAAGTCTCCCGAAATGTCGCCCGAGATCTGTTGCAAAGACTCATGACCATGAGAAGGACTCGATGTGGTAAAGTCCATGTCGTCGAAGAGTTGCTCTGGGCTAGGGTATGAGGAGGCTGATGAGCCAGACGCCGAGGAAGCATACTCTCCAAGGCATCTCTTTTCAAGCACTCTCTGACGAGTCTTTGCCGACTTCTCGAGTCTCTCCTCAGTATCGGGTCTCGGCTTCTTAGGCCTCCCACGCTTGATGACTTTCTTCGGCGTACCATCAAATGCACCGATACACATGCCACGTTGTCGGTGTCGAGTAAGGGCATCGTGTCGTGCGAACCCCTTGCCACAAGGACACGAATATGACTTAACACCGCTGTGGATGTTGGCGTGCCGCTTTAGGTCGTGCTGGCGAACAAAGCACTTGAGGCAATCCTTGCATTGAAATTGGCGGTCGCCAAGATGGGTTTGCACGTGAGACTTGATGTTCTCCTTCCTGCCAAACTTCTTGTCGCAATGCGGGTACAAGCATTTCCATCTGTTGTCGTCCTCTGGTAATCCAATGAACGAGGCGATATCATTACAGGTTACACCCGTGTCAATCCAATCTTCTGTGTCATTCTCTGACATCGAATGGGACCTTGGATATGGATCCTCTTTCATGGGAGAAGGATAGACCGCAAGGTCATCCGCACTTTGTGAACTAGGCAGCCCTGATAGCTTGGTCGCAACGAGTGGGCCATTGACACCAACATTGAGGTCTTCGAACAATGTCATGTGCGCCATCTCTGGTGAAGATTGGAATGATGTAACGGCGGATGAAACAGCGTTGGACATGGGTGAATAGTTCGAAGCATTGTACCCACCAATGCTGCCAGGGATGTCCATTTTCAAATTCGACATGTTCATGAAGTTCGGCTGAGGGAAAGCTGCCAGGTCGACCGAGCCTCGCTGCCGTCCTTGCGGCGGTGCCGTGTTGGGAGGAGATGGAACATCCGGGCTCATAGCATGTTGCCTCATCGCAGCGAAGTTGTCTTGACAAGAAGTTCCGCGTTGCATCGCATGAGAGGCTTTGATGGTCAAATTTGGGTCTCTTCGAGTAGGGGAAGATTCTGCAGTACGACTCTGCAGAGCCTTGTTAGTGTGCGCATTCTGTGAGAACGGAGTTGTGGCCGGAGTTATTGGAAAGTAATCTGCATGAATGTTAACATTCGCTGTCGCGACCCATGGTCAGAATTGTCACTGACCCGTTCTCATTTGACTTAGAGGTGTGCACGGTCGCTGAGTTCCATCTCTAGCGGTAGGTCTCTGCGAGTCTTCTTGGGATGGCAGGCCGTGTGGCATAGCTTTTGTTTTTGTTGTTTCATTAGGTAGGATGTTTTCTGTATATTCGTCGTGTCCTGTTCCGAAGCCGTCGAGGTATCCAGCGGAGGTGGTCGAGTCGAAAGATTGAAAAATGTCCATAGTATTACTGTTGTATGCGTCCTGTAGCGAGTGTGGTTGACCGCTGCTGTTCTCCCAAGCTGTCATTGGGGTATTTGGTTGGTCATCCATAAAGAATCCAGTACCATGTTCCTGACATGGCGCCTGCTGGATGTTCGTTAGAGACTGATGTCGATGGATTGATCGCGTTAGTGTTTTCGATTGTTCATGGCCCGGTCGAGCCGTTGAGTGCTGCTGCTGCACTTCTCGCATTAGTGCTTGGATTAGTTGCTGTCGGTTATGATATTCATCCTCGGTCAATAATTCATCCTGCTGGAAAAGTTCGTCGTGTATTTGGGTGCTAGACATTGACTGATCTATGCTTAGACCTCGTCGATGTGGCTCATGTTGTCGTTGTGTTGCAGGAAGAAGGGTCTTTGGAGTGTTGAATATCGTGGGCGTCGAATTTTGTCGTTGGTGTCGTCCTGGGAGAAGATTCGAAGTCTGATGAGACAGCATGAAGATGCAAGATGAGTTCGAAAAGGGCTGTTGTCGAAGAGCGCAATAGTTGTCCTTCGTGGTTCGAGACTGTCAATCTTGTGTCAGCGCTGGCCATGCCACCGCCATGCCACCTAACTCAGGTTTTCGACTGCGTACCTCGTGCAGCGCAAGCCGGTCGGCCGGGCTAGACTCGTTTGCTTTGAGTTTTACCCAGACGAATGCCGGTATGTATTATCGCAGTTGGAGATTAGATGGGGGGTTTTTCCGAAGAATTGCTCTTTGGCAGGTGCTGTGACGGATGCTCCTGGTGTGTTGTCGGAGTTTTCTTCTCGAATAGTAGATTTGGTATCTTTGAGATCAATTATGATGTGTTTTTTGGTTTGTAGATGTAGAGCAAGCCAGCTTGTGGAGTGAGAAGGAATTTGGGAGTAGGTTGCTGCAAGTCGAGCAACTGTTTACAAAAAAGAGGCCGAGCCGGTTGTCAGGGCGCAAATCTGACATTGAACGCTAACTACAAAAGGGACAGGAGGCTGGTCTTTATTTCTTGGCGCTCTCAAGGTAAGCTAGCGCAGCCTTATCCGCCTAGCGAACCCACACAGTTTCGCTGGGTTTCAACCATCTTCTCTTTTATCGAGCATCTCTGCTGAAGGTTGAGGACGACAATTCTGTCGAGGTGAGCTTGCGCATGATCTCTCGGGTTCTCGTTGTACCTGCTTCGCATTGCTTCGCATACCATCTGACGAATATCACAGGCCATCATGCAGATTTTCGTCAAGACCCTTACGGGTAAGACCATCACCCTCGAGGTTGAATCGTCCGACACCATCGATAATGTCAAGGCGAAAATTCAAGGTGCGCTCAAATCTCTAGTGTTGTATCACCTCGATCCTCGCTAATTTTTTCCAAAGACAAAGAAGGCATCCCTCCTGACCAACAGCGCCTGATCTTCGCCGGCAAGCAGCTCGAGGACGGTCGCACCCTATCCGACTACAACATCCAAAAAGAGTCGACTCTCCATCTCGTCCTACGTCTACGTGGTGGTGCCAAGAAGCGCAAGAAGAAGGTGTACACCACTCCCAAGAAGATCAAGCACAAGCGCAAGAAGACCAAGTTGGCTGTGCTCAAGTTCTACAAGGTGGATGGGGATGGCAAAATCGAGCGTCTGAGGAGAGAATGTCCGACCGCTGAGGTAAATTTTGTGGGATTCAGGTGTTGGGGTTTCGAAGCTGACGAGATTGACAGTGCGGAGCTGGTGTCTTCATGGCTGCTATGCACAACCGCCAATATTGTGGCAAGTGCCATCTCACGTATGTTTTCGATGAGACTGCTGCTGGAAAGAAGTGATGGGATAGAGTAGGACGCCATGTCATAGCATTGAGGTTTCAGTACAGCTTGTGTATGTTGAACTCATGCGAGATAAGAACAAGATCTATGCTTCCGATGATCCCCCATTACCATCAATCGAATGAACGTTGAGTGAGGACACAATTGGGCCACTATTGTTGGACCAGATGATCATATTGTGTCAGGAAAGGCCCTTCGGAGGGAAGCTTGATTTCCGCATTGTGCCGTTTCTCGACAGCCTAACATACTTGAACGTATTTAGTGCAGTATACTGTCCGTTCCATTCGCGCAGTATCCTAAGATTCCCCTCATCTTGCATGTCTGGAATCCAAAATCCTCCATTATATTCTTGGTCCTCCGTCATCATGAACTGCTGTCTGGATTATGATCTCAGGGTCAGTACCGCTTGCTTGAGGGGGGTATAGTGAGCCTTGGAACACGTCGAGAGAGTGAACACTCGCAAGACATGTCTCAAGACTCAGCATTTGGTTCAAAAGAGGAAACACGGACTCCTAAGATACGCACAGTAGGTCTTCTCGAGTACTGGAAGGTCGGCCGGGTCTTCGCTGGCTCTTAATTTCTGCAAGCTCTTCGTCGTGACGACCAAGAAATCTGGTATTCATCAGCGAGAAACCCCAAGCTAGAGATATGTAGAAAAACCCCTTAACGAGACCATGGAGTTTCTCCGCCTCTAGGGGTGCAGTAGCTGCTCTTGCTGCTCCCTGGAAGTAGGCCACTCTTTTCACTTGGCGGAATCAGCATCTCGCATCGCATATTCATCTGGAAAGGGTTCCTGGACAATGAGGTTGGTTTGCCTTCGCTCTCGCTGCTGCGAGCTTATCCCTGGAGGATTTTGGAGTCAGCGTTGGAATTCTGAGTCGCGTGACACATCTTAGAAGCAGAGAACTATTTGAGACATGTCTGACGACCCATAAGACAGCATGAATGGGGAAGGATTGCTTCAGAAAGTATAGCGTACAGCTTCTCAGATCTGGCGCCTGCCCTCCTTAGTTTTTGAGCATCTCTGCTATTTTCGTGCAAACTGGTAGAGTTCCCCTTCTTCTTGGCGACTTTCTTCTGTACCTTGGCCAAACTTTTCGGCATCTTGACCCTGACAAGTCTCTTCCTTTAATTCTGGTGTGCTTCTTGAACAATGGAAAATTATTCGCAGGGCCTTCGGCGAAAGGTATCTCCGCTCACAGAACGCTAGAAGCGCGACGCGCTCTTAGCGCTCTCGAACCTCGAGGAAAATCAGTGTTGACCACGAAAGCACTAATCCGTGTTTGATAGACTTTTTTCCTTTACAAAATGCTATTTTAAGGATCGTGGCTCTCGAGTTGGCTACAGTTCCCAGGAAGCATACATATCTGGTCCCCTTCATGGATCAGGTAAACACGAGGAGGTGGGGACGTTGCTAACTTTATTGCTCGTACTTTTGCTATGAAAATGGGGATCTCTGGTATGTTTGGGAGCTCAATGATATACCGTACAGTTCTGACCTTTCTAAGGCTTGCTCCCACTCCTGAAATCCATCCAAAAGCCTTGCAATCTGAAGAAATTTGCCGGCCAGACCATTGGAGTTGATGCATATGGCTGGCTACATCGAGGGACGGTGGCCTGCGCCATTGATCTCGCCCTGGGCAAGCCGACAACCAAGTATACTCGACCATCCTGAGATATCCTTCCGTAGCTGACCCTGGTCTAGGCATATCGACTTTTCCATGCACCGAGTACGAATGCTGATCCACTTCGGTGTGATTCCGTACATAGTTTTCGATGGTGACTACCTGCCCAGTAAAGCAGCCACAGAAATTGAAAGGGCAAAGAAGCGTGAAGAGAGTAAGAGAAAGGGACTCGAGTTATACCGGCTCAACAAACCCTCCCAAGCGCACCTTGAGCTCCAAAAGGCAGTCGATGTTACCCCGGTAATGGCAATACAGTTGATAGAAGAGCTCAAGAAAGCTGGCGTTCAATATGTCGTTGCGCCTTACGAAGCAGATGCTCAGCTGGCTTACCTCGAGCGGCAAGGAATCATACAGGGCATGCTGTCTGAGGATTCGGATCTACTGGTATTTGGCGCCAAACGGCTTTTGACAAAACTTGACCAGTATGGTGACTGTATCGAGATCAATCGGGCCGACTTTACGGCTTGTCGAGAAATTAGCCTGGTTGGGTGGTCAGACGCTGAGTTCAGACGCATGGCCATTCTCAGTGGATGTGATTATCTGGCTAGGATAAACAGAATGGGCTTGAAGTCTGCTTACCGGCTTGTGCGAAAGCACAAGACCATAGAGAAGATTCTCCGAATGTTGTCATTCGACGGACAATATCATGTACCCCCAGGGTACCTCGAAGCTTTCTACAAGGCCGAGCTGACATTCCTCCACCAACGTGTCTTTTGCCCATTGAAAAGAGACGTTGTGATGATGAACGATCTTCAGGCCGACGCACAGCCTAGAGACTTCTCGTTCATTGGTGGCGAGGTAGAGCAAGAAATTGCCATTGGAGTCGCGAAGGGGGACCTTGACCCGATGACCAAACAACCCATTCGTGTCAAGGAAACAGTCAAGACCACCCCCAAAAACCAATGGGGTAATCCACGTAGGAGTACGGTCGACAAAGGTCCAGATACGAAAGCCGTCAAATCGATAGATTCATTTTTCAAGCCAAAAAGAACACCACTGGCAGAATTGGACCCCAACAGCTTTACGCCCTCGCCAACACAGGAAAGACTTCTGCGGCAAGCCAATGGATTGACGTGGGAGTCGATTTCAGCACCGGCCGGGCTGCCATCTCTCAGGCCGAGTGCTTCAGTGCCTTCTGGACCTCGATCTGCTTTGGCAAACAGAGTTACAGAGACTGTGACCAACGTAGGAGCTTCTCCTACTGGGCTCACTCCCTCAAAGCGACGAAGGCTTTGCATTGACCCGAGTGATAGCCTGGATCCGGGGAATGTAGTCGCATCAGAGTCCGGACGAAGCCGATTCTTCGCACCCAATATCACAGATCCTAGCCCATCAATAAAGAAAAGCAAGAAGAATCGAAAAGGAAAGAGCGCAGATATAACCATTTGGTCAGACGACTCCATCGAGGATGTAATGGCCGATTTGCCAGATGTGTCAGAATGTCCACAGCCATCGAGACAAGGAAGGATGGAAATATTCAAAAATGATAGTCAGGAGACGGCAGAGGACCCTCGCCGCCCGGGAACGCGGGATGAAGAGATATCGAGAGAGGATTCGCAACGTTCAACGTCCTCCAGAGGAACAGTAGAGTCAGGGATGCCTTCCAGTACATCCGCGACAAGCTTCAAAAGCTCCGCGCCATCTGTTGCTGCAACTTTGGACAAACATGTCAGCGCCGAATTGAAGGCCTTGACTCAGGAGTATACCTATCGGCCGGAGACAGAACGGATGGCATTACAAAGAAGTCAGATGGAGAACCCAAAGGAACATCCGGCGGCGGTCAGTGCAAGCCAAGCGATATCGAAGCCTCCAATGTTTAGACAGCGGAATACGACACCTCTAGAACGGCTTGGCTTGAGTGCCATGAATCGATCAAGATCCTGCAGCAGCCTCTTCAACAGTACTGTAAATTGCCCAGGAAGGGCTGAGGAAAGCGCGTCGATCCAAGATAGCACACCTGTGACAAAACCTATTATCGGGTTGCCGTTAGCTTACAGCATCGGACCTGACGCTTCCATCACGAAAGGTAGTGAGGACGCCATCATCCCGGATTCAGAAGACGAAGGCGGGACCGCAACCGAGGTAGAAGAGCGGGCGAAGCCAAGACTTGACCTCGGACGTTTCGCTTTCACAGGATAATTGCTTCAGCGTTTCGCATGTTGTTCTGGTAAAGCATGAGGGTTTGGGTCTGGGGATAATGTTGGCATAGCGTGTGGAGTCTCAGGCAAGAGGCAAAAATGAGTCATGGAGCCGCACGTCTTCTGTATTGTTCTCTGGTAGCATTAAATGTCCATGTGTCTAGCGAACGGATGAATCACAGCTGGCTTTCGATCTTGATCCATTGCCAAAATAGGTGCAAATAGTTGACAAATTATTCTCCAGGACACTTTGGCCGAGTGGTTAAGGCGACAGACTTGAATTTTATCTCCTCAGATATGATTTTCGACATCTGTTTCATTCGTGAGCGCAGGTTCGAACCCTGCAGGTGTCGTAGCAATTAGTTGTATTTTTTTTTGCTTTTCTTTATGGACATTGATTGTTGGTGAACTAAGTAAGTATTTGATCTTTTTAAACAAAAGAAAAAAAGGTGATGGAACTCTTGGGTGGGGAATATTATAGTGCTTTCGAGACAACAACCATTGGAAAGCATTACTTGGCATGGTGGAAAATCAACAATAGAGACAACACGAGTACTCCCTATGATTTCATGCTACAAAAGCGACTATGATTCTTCTCAGCTCTATTCGAGCGCTTGAGACTCCAAGCAATGTATGCACTCAATGCTTTCCGTTCAAAAGCCAAATCCATCAGGAAATTGGAATCCTCCTCCGCCTCCTCCACCCTGAAACTTGAACCCTCCACCTCCTCCACCACCCTGCTTGAAAAAGAATTGTTGACCCCCGGGCCCTTGCCCGAACGGACTTCCATGAAATGGTTGCCCTTGCTGTTCCGGATTATTAGGATCGTCACCCCTGTCAAACCTCGCCCTCAACTCCGGATCGCTAAGCACTTCGTAAGCCTCATTGATATTCGCCATCTTCTTCGCCGCCTGCTCTTCCGTTACGCCCAGGGAGCTTGCCTTGTCGGGGTGGTACTTCTTCGTCATTGTCCGATAGGCCTTTTTGATTGTGCGGTCGTCAGCGTCCGTAGAGACGCTTAGGACTTTGTAGTAGTCTTTTGTCTTGCTGCGTTTGAGCAGAGTGTGGGCCTTTTGCAGGAGAGGCTGTATATCTTGGGCAGCAGGGTGGTGTTCTTTTGCGAGATTGAGGGTGCCAATGGCGGCTTCGAAGTCTTCGGCATCAACTTGGCTTTGTGCTTGAGCGATGAGACCGGGGAGCGAGTGGACGTTCAACGTCAGAGCTTCGGTACAGTAGGGAGCAGCTTTCTTCTTGTTGATCTGGGATGTGTTAGTACAGATGTCGAACAACTTTTGGAATAAAGATCCGTACTTCTGTGTAGCATTCACAGGCCATCTCAACCAGACTGCTGTAGAGCTCATTCGGAGAGTTCTTGTTAATGTAGCCAGCCTCCTTAAAACCCTTGACGTCCTCTTTCACATCTTGCATCAGCCCTGGATCCTCACCTGTCCCCACCAGAAGCTTCACAGCGCTGTTGAATTGGCGCTTCTCCTTCAATGCGGAGGCTTGCTTCAACACCTTGTCGAGCTGCTTCTCCCGCCTAAAGAGCTTACTGCAAGCCTTCGAATCCGGATCCGATCTCAAACACTTCCTCATCTGCTCAATGCCTTTGTCTGTGTCCGCCACTGAGTAGAACATCATCGTCGATATCTGCATATGAGGCTCGATGGCCGAAGGCGATATCTGCAGTGCATGTGCCAGATCGCTGACCCCTTCCAGCGCTTCGCCCCTCTCAAACCGACACCGTGCCCTCAATTGCCTTAAATTCAAAGCGGTGCTTGCGACCATTATTGCTGTACCGGCGTGGCCAACACAACTCTCCCAGTCACCAGCCTTTTCCGCATCCGACGCTAGTGATGCGGCTCCCCATGCTTCCTCGAGCCGTATGAAGTCTGCGCTTCCTGTTTTCTCTGCCCTCACATAGTCCTCCTTTGCTGCCACCCAGTCCGCGTTCCGACTTTTGATCTTGGCCCTCTGTAATAGCGCTCCTTCAAAGTCAGGTTTGATGCTCAGTACCTTGTCAAAGTCCTGACTTGCTTTATCGTTCTTTCCTAATGAAAGGTACGTGGCACCACGCTGGAAGATTGTGAGGTAATTCCGAGGATCTCGCGAGATAGCAACGTCGAAGTATGTAAGCGCGTCATTTGCATTGCCTTGGGCGAGGTGGGATTTAGCGGAGGAGACGAGGGAGGCGATGGGGGTATCCGAGGGTATCTCTGAAGGGGATGTGCAATCAATAAGGGGCGAGGACAAGAGAACAGCTCCCAGAGCCAAGAATGATAATCGTGTAATCATTGTGAAAAGTTAAGGAGCATCGTGTCATCGAAGAGGGTGCTCAGAAAAAGAAGACGATACTTATTTGAACAATGGAAGAATTGGAAAGCCAAGTGGCATTATTCCCATACTCACCTTACTCATTACTTTACTTTACTCGGAAGATACAAGCGCCTGCCGCCTGCCGCCTGCGCCAAGCCTTTCATCCCGCTCGGCCAATTTTCCCCTTCTCCACATTCCTCGTTTTTCCCAAGCAATCATCCGCAAGGCTGCGGAGCTCAGGATACGAGTACTCTACAAGCTGACATCCTTTGCCATTCATTATCTCTACTATACTACACCACGACCACTCAAATTATCATCCACTCACAAGCGTCCTCCTTCATCTCGTCTTGAGATTGCTCACGTACATTGTTGGACGTGCTCCACTTGCCGTTGACATTGCCTTCTGCGTGCTATCAAAGCTTCGTGCGACGTGACGATTGCCTTGTTGCACCGGCGACACTCCTCTCCATAGGCACCGCCTCAACCAGTTGGCATCTTTATTCATCCTCTTCTGAAGCCCGTTAGAGCCTCGTTGAACGTCATACCCCCATAAGAACCCCACATCTCTCATCGCCTAACGGCCTTAGCCAATCCAATGAGCCCTATGGCTTTCCCTCTCACTCCCTCATCCGCCCCCGAATTCACTGCCCAGCTCCAGCGGGTTGAGATCTTGCACCAGCAATTGAAGACCGAACATGCACGTGCTCAAGAATTTCTCGCTAAGCTAAGACGCGGAGAAGAGATACAAGCACAAGCGCTACACTCACAGGCACCACCGCAGTCTGTGCAAACCCAAGCAACAGGCGGCCAGCAGAGACCGAAGCCAGCAGCAGTGAATGGGGCTCACTCTGGGCAGGAAAGCATGTGTTGCTGTCAACACCACCAGTCTAAGTCACTCACTGAGAAGGAGAAGAAAATGGCAGAGGAGTATAGAAAAGCGAGGTTGGGGTTACCGATTCTGCCTCCTCTGCCTACACACGTTGATGAGCGCGAGGTGCGAGATTTGGAGAAGAGGGTTCGGGGTCTAGAAGGCCGCGTGAGAGGATTCGAAGGGCTACCGCCAGACAGAGAGATGGCATTGCTAGAGGTAGAGAGACTGAGGAGGGAGCTGGAAGGATTGGCGAGAAGGAGAGAGGGACTGTTTGCGGGCTTGGGACAAGTTGAAGAGAAAGGGAAGGCCGGAAGAGGCAAAGCGTAGCGCATATGATGTAAGAGAAGGGCAATTGGCGCTAGAGGCTGCGGGATCAAAGGCTACCTTAGTGTTACGGTACTTTTCGACACTGGTCAGTGGACTCGATGAGTACATAGGCCAGTAATTGAAGCACGGGACGTTATGTTGTTACAGCGCTTTCCTCATTGCTGTGTCCGTCACCACTTTTATCAAGGTATATAATTCTATCCATAATGACCGAGGGCCAAAGATCTCCATTCGCCTTCAACTTTGGGTATCAACGCTGTTCAGCAGTGTAGCTCTGGACAGAAAGTCTGCAAGATGCCTCGGAGTCAGGCCAACACCTTTGGCCAGACCCCAGATGGATAGGGTATGAGAAAAGGAACATTGCTAATAATATCCTCATTCTGGGCAGAAAGGCGGGTGATGCTGTCACCAGAAAAGAAGTAGATATGGCCAAAGAAGCTCAAACTAGTGGCTTCAAGAACACTCTCCTCAAAACCTCGGATCCCAGTCGTCTTTGTAGATCCCGGTGTCACTGCATGAGGCTCTCGCTGCGTCCCAGCAGTTACTCTTGTGCTTAGTCTTCGCAATCTCTGCCTGACGCCTCTTCTCATCCGCTTGCACTTTAGCTAGCTTTTCCATTTCATACTTCTTGCCTTCACCCCAATGCTGGCCGTAGAGAGTCTGATAGATCTTGTCGGTGCCTTCCTGCATCTGTTCGTTCCATTTCCACAGTGCCTTCACGGTCAAGTCATTGACCTGCTGTTGCAAATCCCCAGCAACGCCATGTTTGGCCTTCTTCACTAGGAGCTGCGGCTGCTCTTCCTCTTCTACTGGGAGACCTTCCGCCTTCCGCTTTTCCTTCAGGGCCTTTTTCAGACGGATTTTTTCCGCCAGGTATTTGGCGGTGTGCCCGATAGCCGAGTGGGGTTTTGTGGGCGGTAGCGTATCCACTGGTGGCGAGGTGAACCAGAGCACATGACCATTGTCATCTTGTTGAAATTGATCGCGCGTATCTTCGGGAATGGCTAGATTTGCGTTTTCTGGTAAGTGGCCGACCTCCGGGAGACGCTGGGCAGGGATGCTGGGCCCAGCGACGCGCTGGTTGACGTAGCGATTTGGCGTGGCATAATGGTCAAGATGAGATGAGGTCGCGGCCGCAGGATGAGGCTGCGTATAGGAATTGGAGGCTTGCTGGGTGTACTGATGTGGATGATGGACCGGAGCTGGGGAGGCCGAGTGTTGATGGTACAGTGGTACAGATGAGCCGTAGGCTTGGGCGAGGTTGCCTTGAGGTTGGTTGAAAGATGTTGCGGGTGGTTGGTTATAGCCACCCATGATAGCATCACCCTGACCATCTCTTGGATAGCTGGGTGTATCGTAGGCCGTTGAATTATTGACAGGTTTTGCTACCGATGGTGCTGGTTGTGGGGGAGGTGATGGGGTGGGTTCTGGAGGTGGAGATTGCTTCAAATCGTGTCAGTGGCCGCAGTGATTCAAGTCAATGTATTATTAAAACTCACGTTTTCGTCGCGCGGCCCTTTGTACACCGCACCTACAGCAGGAGGAGCATTGTCAGCTCCCCATCTTGGCTTGGGTAACTCGTCCGTCTCCTTTGCATCCTCCTTGAGTAGATGCAAGATTGGACTTGGTACTTTCTTGATTTTTTTGACGCCCCCATCGAACATATCCATAGGATAGTCCTGGTCTCGAACCTCATCAGGTAAGCAGCTAGCCCAGGTCTTGATTTTGTTCAACTTGTGTTTCTCCTCATTGTATCTTGAGTCGCACACATAAACATCTTTGTCGGCTGAAGATCCTCGTGGCCTACCCTTGCTGTAACGCGTGATGAACATGACAAAGCATCGATCGATAATCTCGTCAACACGATGATCTCGGTACTGCCCTGTCTTGACCACCTCGTTGGGGTAGAAGTGCTTTTCATACTGATGGACAGTTTGTTCTGGCCGGTAATACCAGCATGCATTCACCCACTTTTCTCCGTCAGTATCTTGCCAAGTACGATAGATCTGGGCGACGATCGGCTTTGTCACGTCGTTCGGATTCTGTATGTGAATCCAGTCGCCAACTTTCCATAGCTGGCCATTGTGCAAGATGCCGCCTGGTAAGGGCAAACGACCTTCTTCCATTTGGAACTCTGTGTCTGGTTTTTCTTTCTCTGCATCTGCAAGCTTGTGTGTTTCGGTCTAACCAAATTGTCAGCATATATGGTGCTTGACTAGCGTTACAGAGACACACCTGGAGATACACAGCGTCTTTGTAGATCTGGCTCTCGTCTTGATTATAGCTCTTCGCGTTGTTGAACATGACATCGATATCGCGCATGAAATGATCAACGGATTGGTACTTCTTCCGCTTTTGTTTCTTCTGTGCAATGTTAGAAGTTGTCACCCTGTTGGGCTACCTGGGCAGCATCTTGGCAATATCCTTCCTACGTACCTTAATCTGCTCAACTGCAATTGGTTCTTTGATTTCTATGTAGTATTCCGGCATGGCGACCTTGTCCGGCAATTTCTCGAATTGATGGATGATGATGTTTCCATGCTCGTTCTTGTACTTGCGAATGGCTTTCAAGACCGCCTTGATTCTAGACTCCATCGGAGTATCCACACGAGGTGGTCGACCTCGCCTCTTCCTAGACTCGGCATCGTTGCCCTTCAGTCCCCCATCGTCCTTACCCCCTTCGCGCTTCGTGATGGCGGCCGTAGAGCGAGGACCACGCTTTCGCTTTCGCTTTGGACCATCCTCGTCAGAGTCTTCTTCGTCTTCCTCATCGTCTTCCTCGTCGTCCACATCGTCATCTTCCTCCTCCTCGACTGGTAAAGGAGACTCAACAGGAGGCAGCTCCCCTAAGTCAGGATAAGTTGCCACCTCTTGTGAGATAACACCCTGGTCAGCAAGAATTTTAAATTCTTTTTCAAACTCCCGTCTGAGGACCACGGCATCCTGGTATGCTCCCGACTCAGCTCTGTTGTACGTCTGGGCGTTGTGTGAAATTAGGGCGCAGTCACGAACGTATTCGGAGAAGCTTTTGTACTCTTTCGTCAAAAGTTTAGCCTTCAGCGTACTCAGGGCTACAGGCTCCTTGATCACATCGTAGTAGTCTGGCATTGATCGTTTATTAACTTTGCGGTGAAACAGCTTCGAAGGGTCGTAGCCACTGCGAGGTGTCAAGACTGTCACGGATACGAGGTGAGAATCCTTACTCTGGTTCCCTATATGCATAGATTCTTTCAGTGATGTTCTTCATCGCCCGTACTTGCTCGGTCGTGAGAGCACGGCCTTCTGGATTGCTATGCGCCGGGGTCTCGGTCGTCTCTATGGGCGTCTGGCTACTAAGAGAATCATTGGACCCTGCCATGGTCGTCGCGATCGGCTATAGGCCGTGACTGCCAGAGCGTCTTTGCGATTGAGTCTCGGTGTCGCAGGCACTCTGTAGGCTTGGATATCTTTGGCCTGATATCCACACTTGGTATGGGTTGACTTGGTTGCTTGGACTCGGATACTGTGTTTCTCGCAAGCAAAAGCACTTCTTACAGTCTGTTGTCAGCTTTGCAAAAAAGAGATTCGCTCGATAGATGCCAACTTCGAAGTTGACTGTCCTGAACGTCTCTTTGCTTGCAGGTCTGCTTCACTCCCACGGGAGGCTCACTTTTGGAGTTTTGCCCTAAACTCTTTCGGAACAGACGCTGAAGCGGCCTGGCGGGCCGCTGCGCTGGAGCTTCGATTCTCGGATCCCTCGGAATTAAAGTATTGTACGTCTGGAAGCGCGAGTTGACCATACAGATAGATCTCCGTACGAATTCCCCAACTCTTCCCAACACTTTTTATACTACTTTGCCAGACGGATGAGGGTCAGGATACGTGGACCGGCGGGCCAAGCTGCGATATCACTGTCCGAAACTGCGACCGTTGAAGATCTAAGGACTCAAATTACAGAAAGGACATCAATCTCCAAGTTTGATTTGAAACATGGCTATCCACCAACGCCGTTGTCGCTCGGCGAATTCGCAACGACGGCGAAGCTGTCAGATATTGGAATAAACCTGGATGGGGAACAGCTGATTGTCAGCGAGACTACACAAGCTCCCTCTGTCAATGGACTACCAAAACCCTTGGATCCAAGCCCCAGTCAAGTATTCGCAGACAAGGCTTTGAACCCGTCCTCCGCAGACACACCGTCCTCATTCTCCTTCGCAGATGTAGGCACTGCTCCTCCGTCGTCAACTCAAAAAACCAGCAAGCCCTTGTCTCTCACCCGCAAACCCACCTCCGCCTCCCTTGACGCCCCAGAGCTGCCTCTCCCTTCGCACGCTTCCACTTTAGTCCTTCGGATCATGCCCGATGATAATTCCTGCCTCTTTCGTGCCTTCAACACCGCTTTCTTCGGCGCCATGGATAACATGACTGAATTGCGCTCTATAATCGCTCAGAGTATTCAAGTGAATCCAGAGACGTATAGCGCCGTTGTGCTGGATCAACAGCCAGATGACTATTGCAGGTGGATCCAGACTGAGGATGCATGGGGTGGGGCCATTGAGCTAGACATCCTGAGCAAGCACTTTGATGTCGAAATTTCGTCCATCGGTGCGTACATTTCCGAGCTGATCCTTCCTATTTGGTATTTGGATTGAGTAATACGACATCTTTCGGGAGCAAAAGAAACCTTTGCGCTCCAGAAACTTATCTCGCAACTCCAATATCTGCCTCGAATACGCAACGCTGACCCCAAAATCTGCGTAGATGTGCAGACCTTACGGACCGACCGCTTCAATGAAGGAAGGCCGGAACGGTGTATATTAGTCTATTCCGGCATTCATTATGACGCTATCGCATTGTCACCCTCAGATGCGCCACACAAAACTGCATACGCGCCACCCGAACTTGATACCAAAATCTTTGACGCTCAAGATTTGGTTGTCCTGGAGGGCGCACTAGAATTGTGCAGGGTGTTGCAGGAAAGGCATTATTACACCGACACGGCAGCGTTTACTGTCAGGTGTAATATCTGCGGAAAAGTGAGCGTTGGTGAGAAAGGCGCGACCGAGCATGCAAGTGAAACTGGACATTACGACTTTGGGGAGGCTGCGTGACGCATAGCCAAATTATGCGTTATGGAGCGAATGGAACCATGGTCTGAAGCATAGCTTTTTGAAAGAATGGCCTCGTCCGGCATTTGTCAAAAGCCGCCTATCGATAGTCTGCAAGATACACTTAGCCTGACAGCGACGGTGCATCGTCTCATAGCACAATTAAACAGACTCATTGCATTAGGCAAGACTTGAGTTAACGCTTTGCTTTCTTTTCCTTCTTCCGTTCCTTGTCTCCGTTGACTTCACCGTGCTTCCGCTTCTTTTTCTTCTCGCCTTCTACGCTCTCTTCCCCCTTATCTCCTCTTTTCTCTTTCCTCTTCTCCTTCTTGTCTTTCTTCTGTTTCTCCTGCTTCTGCACTGCCCTCGGTGCCACATCAGCCATTTCCTCGTCACTGTCCACATCTGCAGTTGGATCCGCCAGGTCGATATCCGCAAGCACGCTGTCCATTGCATTACGCTGAAGCTTATGATTAGCACGACCTCAAAGCAGCTTTCTTACGATTGAGCAAGGCGATACGCACCATGGCCAGTTCGTTCTTCGTAGGCGCAGCTCCTGAGTCGTAGAATTTCAATCTCTCCTCAACTTGGCTCTTCAGCGCCTCACCAAACCTTGTGGTCGGCGCTTCACTAAAGTTGTCGATTCTAGATGCGATGGAACACTTGTTCGCCAGAAACCGAGATATCCTACCCTTGTTCTTCTGCGAGGCTCTGCCGATGGCAGACGCGTGGTAAATCAAGCCATATTTTGGTGTATTGCTTTTGGTCTTTAATGCTCGAAATAAGGCTTTTTCTGCACCAAGAATCTGAACCGTGGATGCTGGGTATTTGGATAAATTTGTAAGGCTACCGGCGTGTGATATCAATCGTGCTCCAACCATCTCACCAATCAGTACTCCCAGGTTAGGTGCTACTATGCCCATCTTTGAGACCAGGTAGCTGTGAAGTGTCTTCCGGTAGTTCGCTAGACTGACCACTTTTGATGCAAAGGTGGTGACATTGTCCATGTCAGCATCCGAAATCTAGACAAGTGAATCAGCATATTTGAGCTTACAGAAACTCGTGGGAAACTTACTGCCTGACCCATGCTGACTTTAGCCACGTCAATAATGCTTTGGGCTATCTCAGAATCGTCGTTCACTTGGGCGGCTAGCTCATTCAAATCTGCGTCCGATAACCTCTCTTTGGGTCCGATGAAGAGAGCCAGCTTTGCGTAAGTATGGTTATCGCTTACGATCCTAATAAGCTCTGGGAAATGCTAGAAAATTTTGCCGAATCAGCTCTTCCGTTGATCAATGTCAGGTGAGACGAGTCTAGTAAGTAAAAATGGCAGCCAGAATGCTACAATGTTCCCAAAAAAGCTGGTGCGACTCGAAGTGCGGTATTGCAGATGGGAGAACCACTCATGAAATACTTACCCAACTATACCACTCTCTGACTCTCATCCTGCAATTTTCGGAGTCAGCATGGCTTCTTTAAGGCGAAACACCTAGGTTATAGAACAGTTGTGAGGGTTGAGACCCGCCTACTGCTCGCGAGACACGAAGCGCGGCTCGAACCAAGGATTCGATTACAAAGGGTTTTCTCTGAAATGTGCACTCACGAGAACAAATTTACTGCCTTGTCCAGATTGTCTAACGTAGCAATAGCCTCTGCGAATAAGATTAGCGACGCAGTGACGGCGAAGGTGCGTTTACTGACGTATGATATGATTGTCGTTTTTCTGTACACTGAACTTAACCCTCGCCCTCGAATAGGCGTGCTGTAACACCATCACACTCCATCAGTCCATGTCTTCAACTGTCTTGGATCACATATAGGTAGCCTCACGCCCAGTCCCAAATTTGCGCGCTCGACATCTCCTTCCTGCAGTTGCTTCAAGAGCTTGTGTGCGTGCTGACGAATGCCGCGAAGCATTTCCTGTACAATCTCCGAAGTCTCGCCTGTTTCGCATTCGAGTCCAGGAAATGCACCCTTTATGGCACCAGCGAGGTTCTTGTCCGCTACCCCGAGCGTAATCTTGCTCTTCTTCCCCGACTTCGGTAGATTGACTTCAAGCAGTGAAAGTAGGAATTCAGAAGCTATGCCCTCGCTGACTTCGTTCGCATTTTGCAGAGCCTGAGCTGCACCTCTGAATAATGTAATTAACTTCTGGATTTTCAAATCAGGTCGTCGCTCGGCCGCTTACTGGAAGGGCGCGAAAGAGACCAGCTTGACCATCTTGCCGAACTTCTCAAGAAACTGAGAGGTCAGTATGTTTCTTACAAGAGCAAAGCAACAAGGGAGTACCTGGACTGAGTCCTGAACCTCTTTCAATCGAGCGCCGACAGTGTCCGGTTGTAGCATTGTACGAAATATAGCATAGCCAACAGAGCTTTCATGCAGAAGATAATCGACAGACATGTTGCATAGACGGTATTCGGACTCCCAAAACTTGGAGAAAGTGTGCGCTGGAACTCCTGAGAGGATGAGAAATCCTGTTCAGAGTTATACAAACGGTATGCGGAGTCCAATGCCTATGAGAGAGTGTGCGCATGAGCTTCTTAAGAGAATCGAGGTCACTGTTCAATCTTCATATTTTTACAAAAGCTCGTTCCTCTGTCAGTACTTTAATCTCTCGCCTAATTTAACCGCGTTTGCCGAAACAGGTGCCCGCGTTCTTGAATATTAGCGGCGCGTTGATACTTATTTGTGCAATCCATCTTAACGAAAATAAATTTCTCAAGGGTTTTTCTCTGTGTATTTTTTTCTTTCCATCACAATGTCTGCAGCGCAGCTCCTGAATCCAAAGGCGGAGTCACGGGTTAGCCATCTCCGCATTACTGAATCAGCATGCTTGCTAACGTGTATTTAGAGACGAGGTGAAGCTTTGAAAGTCAACATTTCTGCTGGAGAAGGCCTGCAAGATGTCCTCAAATCCAACCTCGGTCCGACGGGGACCATAAAAATGCACGTGTCTCCTTACAACCTCTGGAAAAAGAATACTGACACATCTCAGGCTGGTTGACGGAGCTGGAGCAGTATGTGTTGACCATCTGGCTATAGGGCCTTTGGAGCATATTAGCTCATGTGTTCATAGATCAAATTGACAAAGGATGGAAACGTACTGCTAAGAGAAATGGTATTGCATTGTTGATCACCTTTTACAGGGTACGGCTAAGAAATTTTCAGCAAATACAAAATCCTACCGCAGTACGTATGCCCGTTTCGGTCTGCGATTGAAACGCTTATTCGAAAAGGTTATGATAGCAAGAGCGGCTACTGCTCAGGATGACATTACAGGAGACGGCACAACCTCGGTGGTTCTGATGGTAGGAGAGCTACTCAAGCAGGCAGACAGGCATATATCTGAAGGTCTGCATCCCCGGATTATCACAGACGGCTACGAGATTGCGAAAACAGAGACTTTGAAGGTGGGTTCTGTGGCGTCTGCTGGAGAGGAAGGGGCTAAGTCTCGACTCGTTGCAGTTCCTCGACACCTTCAAATTGCAGAAAGAGGTTGATCGAGAGCTTCTTCTCTCCGTTGCCCGCACCTCACTCGCCACCAAGCTGAATGGTACACTGGCCGAAAAGCTTACTCCGGCCATTGTAGACGCAGTTTTGTCTATATACCATCCTCCTGCAAAACCAGATCTGTTCATGATTGAGATAATGAAGATGCAGCATCGGACAGCTTCAGATACATCCCTCATCCGTGGGCTTGCACTAGACCACGGAGCACGACACCCAGACATGCCCAAGCGCGTGGAAAATGCGTTTATCCTGACACTGAACGTCAGCTTAGAGTACGAGAAGTCAGAAGTAAATTCAGGCTTCTACTATTCGAGCGCAGACCAACGCGAGAAGCTCGTGGAGAGCGAAAGGAGATTCGTAGACGATAAACTTAGAAAAATCGTTGAACTCAAGAAGGAAGTTTGTGGCAATGACCCAAAAAAGGGATTTGTTATCATCAACCAGAAGGGGATTGATCCATTAAGTCTCGATGTCCTGGTTAAGAACGGCATCTTCGCACTTCGGAGAGCGAAGAGGAGGAATATGGAGAGGTTGCAGCTTGTTTGTGGCGGTACAGCTCAAAACAGTGTAGATGACCTGACCCCGGACGTCCTTGGATGGGCTGGACTTGTGTATGAACATCAGCTTGGGGAAGAGAAGTACACATTTGTCGTAAGTGGCCAATGCTTTGCTTGCGCGCACGAGAAGGTTTCTTACCAACCAATTAACAGGAGGATGTAAAAGACCCAAAATCGGTTACGCTCCTCATCAAAGGTCCCAACACACATACCATTATGCAAATTACAGATGCAGTCCGAGACGGACTGCGAAGCGTTTACAACATGATTGTCGACAAGAGCGTTGTGCCAGGTGCAGGAGCCTTTCAAATAGCGTGCGCTGCACACCTCTCAAGCGAAGCTTTCAGGAGGCAGGTAAGAGGAAAGGCGAAGTATGGAGTCTCAGCATTCGCAGACGCTCTTTTGGTAATACCAAAGACTCTTGCCGCAAATTCCGGTCATGACATCCAAGATTGTCGTAAGCTCAGGAACCCCACGTCCCCTACCTGTCAGTGCTGATCCTATCCAATAGTGGCTGCACTGCAGGACGAGCAAGTGGAGGGCAACATCGTTGGCCTGAACTTAGTGACGGGCGAGCCAATGGATCCAATTCAAGAAGGGGTATACGATTCGTTCCGTGTTTTGAGGAACTGTATTGCATCGAGTTCCGGCATAGCTTCCAACCTCCTACTGTGTGATGAGCTACTGAAAGCAAGGCAGATGGTGGGTAAAGAGGTGACACCGTTGAAAACAAAGGCTAATCGCACACAGGGGCGTCAACAAGGTCCTGGGCCCGGAGAAGGCGAGGGCTAGTAACTATTACAGAGAGCTTTCGGGTGGGAGTACTTGCATGTCTTCCATCTATGCAGCTACTTGGGATGACAGAAAGCATCAGCGTTTGTATTCTAGACATGTTCGCAATGCACCTACGCGGAAGCGAACAATAGATAGCAACTGTCAATGAAGATACCCCACATGAAGCCTCGACTGCTACAACATCCTTTTTTGCATGGAGTATCCATATACAGAGACCTTACCTCCAACGGACTGTATTCTGTTCCATAGCTTTGCTCCGCAATACCACCCGCCATGACCAGAATCGTCCGTTGAAGACGAAAATGCAAAGAAATCGCTCTGATGGATCATGGAGTGCCTGGTGAAAATCTGGCATGGGTGGTGTGGGCCTGGGGAAAGGTGAGTGGTAAGGTAGCCAAGCCCTACCTTAAATAACTTCCCGCAACTCTAGTCCTTCTGCGGCGCTGCGTGAAAAGTAAAAGACGTTGAAACTCGAAAAGGAGAGGAGATATCTAGCCAATCAATTTAGATCATTCTCATCTTTACCCACCAAGGTCTTGAGCAAAGTTGATCCCACTATCGTACTTCCATCTTTAAGTAGGCCTAGGTGTTGTCAATGGAACTTTCCTGTCCCTACCTGAAGGAATAACGCTCCGCGTGGGCGACTTTTGAGCCCGCCAGAGCTCAGGGGACACGGGACCACCTCCGGCCTTCAACATGTTTAGAATGCGCCGATACCGGGTTTTCCTGGTCTTTGCTGTCATTGCAGTCGGTGCATTATACCATTTCACAACCTTAGGCGGTCTCGAGAGCGCGGGTGCGGCGAGCGTCGAGGGGCTTAAGAACTTTGGCCAAAAGATTGAATCTTCCTCTCCACCAGCTTCGAAATCAGAGCAAGATTCAGATAGTGAAGAAAGATCGAATGCCAAAGATATCAATGCGCCCATAGCTGTGCATAGTCTCGCAGACTCGGGGACTGCAAGGCCATCTATTGCCGCAGCACAGGAGCCGGAGTCCCGAGCCAAACCAACATCTCTCGTGAAGTCAGCTTCTAGATATGGCGATTCGGTCGCTGGGGACAAGCCTCTATCAGCAGGCAAGGTTGCCCCAACTGCTACGTCTACACCCGCCAACAAGACAACAAAAGTCGAGACTGGCCCAGCAGACCCCATCATTGAACCCGAGAGTGGGAAAGGCAGAATGGAGATAATTGCGGAGACAGGCATCCCCAAGATTCACTGGAGCCAGCAGCCAGAGCACTTCCCTATCCCGACCGAGGACATTATACAACTACCTACAGGGAAGCCGAAAGCAATTCCACAGATTCAGCACAAATTCACAGCCGAATCTGCAAGCGATAAGGCAGCTCGAGAAGACAAAAGAGAAATCATCAAAAAGGCCTTCTCATTCTCTTGGGATGGATACAGATCGAAGGCGTGGAGGCAAGACGAGTTGTCCCCAATATCTGGCAAGCATCGCAACCCATTTTGCGGATGGGGCGCAACACTGGTAGATACTTTGGATACATTGTGGATGATGGACTTGAAGGACGAATTTGAGGAAGCTGTAGACGCTGTCAAGGAGATAGACTTCACTACAAGTGCGAGGAACGACATACCGCTGTTCGAGACCGTTATTCGATATCTTGGAGGCCTTGTTGCTGCGTATGACATAAGTGGTGGCACATATAAAGTACTTTTGGATAAAGCCGTGGAGTTGGCGGATATCCTCATGGGTGCCTTTGACACACCAAACCGCATGCCTATGACCTTCTATATGTGGAAGCCGTGAGTCTGCAAATGAGCTATTGCAATGTACATCCACTTACATTTTCGCAGCACCTTCGCCTCTCAGCCTCACCGAGCAAAAACGAGAGTCGTTCTTGCGGAGTTGGGGTCTCTATCAGTTGAATTCACGAGGCTTGCACAGATCACGAAAGAGGCAAGGTATTATGATGCAGTTGCTCGAATTACCAATGAGTTTGAGATCTGGCAGAATGACACCAGAATGCCTGGCCTATGGCCCCTGAAAGTCGATGCCTCGGGATGCAAGAAACCAGAGCAGGCTCCACAAACGAAATATGACCATCCGACAAGGAAAGGACCCACAAATTTGAAACCGCTGCTAATTGCCGAGGATAAAGCTGCAGCGGCAGATAGTCCGAGTCTCTTAGATGAAGGCCCGGCGAGGAGAATCAAGGCTGAGGAGGATCTCCAGTCAAAAAGTGAGGGTGGTCTTGTGGACGCAGTGGATGAGGTGAGGAAAGCGGGAGCAAAGAGTCCAGCAGAATCAAAAAGCGCATTTTTGCCTGAAGCTCCTGATAGTAGCGTCGAAGCAGCCACGCATGTCAACCACGAATCGCATGATTCCGCTCAGAAGTCTTCTGCCGCCAGTGCTTTGGTAAAGAGAGAGGTCTCCACGGACCCTGTTTCAAAACCCGCAGAGTGTGAGCCGCAAGGCCTCGCATCACCGCCGTACACATCGAGCGAAGAATTCGGAATTGGTGGCCAGGCGGATTCTATGTACGAATACCTGCCAAAAGAATACATGCTTCTTGGAGGCTTGGAAGAGAAGTATCGAGCTATGTACGAGATGGCGGCAGACAGCACCATCAAGAATCTCTTGTTTCGCCCCATGATACCCAACGAGAAAAGACATATTTTACATGCAGGTTTAGCCAAGGTCGCCGAGAGAAAGAATCCTACCGACGATAAGGTCGACCTAAAGCCGGAGGGAACACACCTCACTTGCTTTGCCGGGGCTATGTTCGCCATTGGTGCCAAGGTCTTCGATCGCGAGGATGACATGGACATCGCTTGGAAGCTTACAGACGGATGTGTGTGGGCCTATGAAGCAACGAACACAGGTATTATGCCCGAAAGCTATTTAGCTATTCCTTGCCCAGATGTGGACAGTTGTCCATGGAACGAAACGCTGTGGCATGAATCGCTCGACCCTTTCGGTGACTTGCGTGAGAAAAACCGAATCTCGAGGCAGCAAGCTGTCTTAAGCTCCAAGAAAAAAGCGCCCCTCGACGAACCTGTAGGAAAGGGAGATAAGACATCTCAGACTAAAGTCACCAAGGCCTCGTCCATTCCGGGACTGATCAGCTCTCAAACGAAAGGGTCAATTGGTAAGAAAGGTGATGCACAATTCGTTGAAAGTGCCATCTCCGAATCGAAAGTAGACAAGTCTATAAAGCCAAAAGCTGCTCTCTTGGAAGGAGAGATTGATGAGCTCATGACCAAGGCCGGAGAAGCTGACGCTTCTTCAAAGTATCTTCACAAAAGGCAACTTGGAGACTTCAATGAAGAGAACCCAATTGCCTCTGCAGGAGGAAAGGCTGTACCAACAGCGGCAGCGATTCCCAAAGAACCGAAGGACACAGTCACAGAATCGACTATCAAGACAAATGAAGAGTCCATGGTTGAGGAGACTTCCGCGGAACAACACTTGGACAAATCAAAGGCGCCTACCCTAGGTCTCAAGGACAAAGCAACAGGGTTGAAACACTCCAACGGCACAACCAAACCTACGGTTTACACCCCACCACCAATTCCTACACGCGAGGAGTTCGTGAAGGCTAGGATCAGCGATGAGAGATTACCAGCAGGGATGACCAAGGTTACGGGCGGCAGATATCTCCTCAGGTGAACTACCCTTCTCACTGTAAAGACGAAGTGTAGATGCTCACCAAACCTTAGACCAGAGGCGATTGAATCCGTTTTCGTCATGTACCGCACCACCGGCGACGAGTACTGGCGCGAAAAGGGTTGGGAGATGTTCAAGGCCATCGAAAAACATACCATTGCGACCTATGGCGCTTCCGCGATATCAGATGTTACGAGCAAGAAGCCAGTGGCCTTGGATGAAATGGAGAGCTTCTGGTTGGCGGAGACGCTCAAATATTTCTATCTCTTATTCAGTGAGCCTGATGTGGTCAGTCTGGATGATTATGTGCTGTGAGTACCGACCCTTTTCCCTCCCAACTCCTATTTCCTAATCTCTTGAGCAGGAACACAGAAGCACATCCATTCAAGAGGCCGACATGATAAGTCACTGTGTGATATGAGTAATGTCATGGATGCGTTGAAAGTATATTGGCATAAGCAAGCTATGCATTTGATGGCGTATGGTTTTGGTCTGAGCAAATTGGGCTGTCTCGGAGCCTGGAGGTTGTCATTCTTATGAGTCACTATACCAAGTAGATATGCGTATTTGTACTCTAGGACCCAAAGAATTCACCGAGAATTGAATGGCGAAAGAGCTGTGGACCGAATTTACTAGAGCTTTCATCCACGTTACTTAGTTCGTCGTGACCATTCGCCTGCCGCGCTTGTGAACCATGACACTAAGTAATCTTCCTGAGTCACGGAGACTGAACGACAATTGCTCCTTCAGCCTCTGATCATGACAGTCGTCACTTGAGCAATGGAGTTTGAGGTGTCTTACACCTTAGACAATGAGCAGCAGTTCTGGGATGGTGTGTAAGCCAGCGCCTCCACCATTCCACTAACGCACGCATTGACCCTGCTTTTCAGAACTTGAAGAGATAGTCTCCGTACAATGCCAGTCACACGAGCTCATAGACAATGCTCTACGGTCATACTTGACCTTTGTCACCAATTACAAGGGTCTGCGCTGTCCACTGTCCACAGAGAAAATGGGCGAAAGACTGAGTATCGGCACAGGAGAATACGTACAAACCGAATATGACATCGCCCGCTGCTCATACAGACTCCTCGAGTCCTCTCTCTTCATCGAGAATAAAGACTATGTCCGCAGACAGATTGTCTACAGCCTGCTGCAGGTATGGCGCGCTCACTCTTAATCCACAATCAGCTGCTCATGTGCAACAGGAAGATTCCCCAGACACGTTACACCTAATCATAGCATTTCTTCTCTTCGATGGCCAGCAAAACGACATCACGTTCGAGATGATGAAAGAGGAGGGTGGGTTCCCAAGGCTGCTTGAATTAATACAGGAGGGAAGAGACGATGATGCGGGCTTGCATCGAATGCTGCTTGAACTGCTTTACGAAATGTCACGAATACAGCGATTGCGAATAGAAGACTTAAGTCAGCGTTGTCCTCGGCTTTCCTCACGGGCTTGAGAATTCTGACGAGAAGCGATAGTACTAATCGAAGACGAATTCGTTGCGTACATGTTCCAGATCATCGAGGGCTTATCCGACGATGTGAACGATCCCTATCACTATCCAGTCATACGAGTCGTGGTATGTGGGTCCTGTTGAGGACAGAAGCGACCGTCTTGCTGATATGTTCAGCTTATATTGAACGAGCAATACATGTGCTCGGCTCACGACCCAAGCCCAAATCAAACCACCTCGCCAAGTACACCTCTGACAAACAAAGTCATGAAGATCCTTTCCGCTCAGGGGTCCGCTTACAAGACCTTCGGTGAGAATATCATCCTCCTCCTGAACCGAGAGAGCGAAACTTCCCTCCAGCTGCTCATTCTCAAACTTCTCTATCTCCTCTTCACCACACCGCCTACGTACGAGTACTTTTACACCAACGACCTCCACGTCCTCCTCGACATCATACTGCGGAATTTGCTCGACCTTCCTCCTTCCTCTACCGCTCTACGCCACACCTACCTCCGCGTCTTATACCCCCTCCTCGCCCACACACAGCTGAAGCATCCACCGCATTACAAGCGAAATGAGCTGGTCAGACTATTAGCTATGATGGCAGAGGATGATAATCAACATTTCGGGGCTGTAGACGAGACGACAAAGAGACTTGTGGAACGTTGCGGCAGAGTAGGATGGTTGAAGGATGAGGAAGCGTCTGGCTCGAGTCCGACTTGGATGAAGCAGCGATTGCTGAGTGTCGATCTGCCGAGCGCGATGAAGAGCAGTCTCAGCGTTGTGGAGGTGACTACTCATAGGGAGAAACCGGGGGTGAAGACTCCTAGTCGAATGGACGATGACAGGGCGAATGAAAACACTGGGAATATTGTGGACAGTTCAGGAACGATCAATAATGGTGCGGTAACGGCCGGTAATGATGGGATCGGGAAGGCAATGGGTGTGGAGAAGAGCCCGTTCGAGGTTGAGGGAGAGGCGTAATGCTCTCTATGGAGGGTAGGCTGCAATGCTAAAAAGCCAAAGGGAATTTGCTTTGGAAACAACCATCAGCTTATCAGCTTCCGAGTCCAAGGTTCCTAGCCTTTCGGGCTTCTTGTACACATGTTCACTATTCATATGTCTATCTTCCTGACTTGCTGCTTGTACATATGGCTCCCAACCCAATTCTAGGACGAGTGGGAATCCAGGAATAAAGAAGGAGTCGTACCATATTTCTTGGAAGTCTTTAGTGTGAGCAGGCATAGCGGGATATGTATCTGGGAAAGTAAATTGCTCTTTTCTGACAATGCGGGCTCTTTTCACTGGAGGTCTTCAGGGCATACTTGGTTCCAGACGGTTGGATCACTTCTGATGATGGCTGCTAACCCAGCGCCTTCGGCGTTCGAATGAACCATAAGGGTTAGCAGCTGCCAATCATACCCAGTCAACGGTCGAAAATTCCTTCTCATATCACCTTCGCAGCTCTGAGCAAGTCATCAAGCTCCGGGAGGGTACACCCAGTGGAAATGAACGATTTGATGGCCTCCCATGGCCCGCTCCCTATTGTACCTTCATCACCTGGCTGCAACGTACTCCAATTCGGACTATGCTCCGCTCTCAGCCACTTAAAATCATCGACTTGATCCCACATATTTGGAGACTTTGGCCGTGATGATTCAGTGGTATTCTAACGTCAAATCATGAACGAGAACAGCTAAAGTTTAACGAAGGGAATACTTACATAGACGGGCTGAAACGGCGTGAACCGTATACCCTTGCAGTCTTCGATGATCGGTCTACTGCCGCAACGCAAATACACAAGACAGCTCTTGCACTCATGCATACGCATTTGACGACTCCAAACGATCAGAGTGCTGTTCTCGACGCCTGTGATATGCGCGGCGCCACTGGTTCTGCCGCAGATTATGAGACTTTCGGTCACAGAATTGATGGCTAGCGTTGCAAAGGGTCTTGATAATGAGTCGGAGAGGTCGACGGCGCTGTGGTCAATTTTTGTGATTGATATCGATGAGCCCGGTTCTGAAGAAGCAGATTCGAGTCTGTGATGAGTGGATGAAAGTGATGTGATCGTGATAGCACCTGCAGCCCCTGAAACGGGCCCAGCATCGAGACTGTCCTGGTTTCCTTTCTGGTCGCTACTATCGTAATCAGGCTCGTTCAAGAAAGCTATCTTAGCACTGTCGCCAGTAGCTGCCCGGCTTTGGCCTGAGAAGTCTTCCGAAGGTTCATTGCTAGAGTTGGCGGAATTTTTCTGCGCAACGTTTTTCTTAAATGCAAACCTGCGCTTCGGAGCAGAAGCATTGCGTATTCCCTGTAATTCTTCATCAAGAGACCTGACCGCCTGTTAAGCTGCCCGCTCTATTAGCATCGCTCGAGGCTTGACAGAGAAACACTGTAAAGACCGTAGAATAAGTGCGTTGGTCGTAGGCTGGGAGATAAGCTGAGGCATCCTTGACCTCATTGGAAAGCTGGGATATGCTGGCTAGACATTGATCCGTTATGTTCACTCGCTCGACTGGCTGTAGGGCGGTTTCCTTCAAGCGGTTCATCTGCTCTTGGAGCGCTAGATTTGAATGTCAAAGACGTTCTTGAAGATGCGACTGATACTTACAGGTTTCCTCTTGCTTGAATCGGCGGCAGAAGTGCTCTTTGACATTTGAATCCGATGATCCTTTTCCAGCCTTGATTGACATGATTCTTATATGCCGAAACCGAATGAGTCTACTGGGAAGACTTTATTGCGGTGTGATTGCAGAGACTTTTGGATTTTCACGCTCTAAGGGATAATTGAGTTATCAGCGGGTTTGCTTTTCCTCATCTACTACTGTCTCTGCTATCGAAAGGCAGGCTCTACGTACTATCAATCATACCATAGACTTTCATGATTTGAAAGACTTTTACGTGCAGAGTAACCCGGCCTTAAACAGCCGATGAAAAACCATGATTTTCTATGTACAACTCTAGCAAATCGAATGGCGCCTGATACTGCATCAGTCAAGTTCGAGGTACATCTAAACCGTAATTCTGCTTAATTCTCTCGGCTCGTCTTTCTCGGTAGCCGGGACCATATACGCCTGCGATCATTAGTAACACTGACCCCCGTGGGAATTGAACAGGTGCCTCACCTCTGCCCTCGCCCAATTCTTCTAGCGTTTCTTGTATGGGTCTCCTCCTGTTCTTCTTTAATGCCTCCTTTCGCTCATACTCGTCGACGTTTGGATCCTTGTCGTAGCCTGAAAACTTTCCACCAGTATAGTCAAAAGCACCTTGCACGATTGCCAGACCAGCACCGAAACCCAAGACAGCGGGAAATGTTCGGACTGTGACTTGATCAGGACGTTTATCCATTGACAAAAAGGGCCGCCTAACATCTTAGTCCTAAGACACTACCTGACAGAAAGCCACCAATAGCAGGGTTCCAGCTGTCATCTTTCTCCCGAAGGTTCGCAGCCGCGGCTTTTGCGAATCCATAGGTTCCTCCCGATGCAGCTATATCTTATATTAGTGCTATGAATATAGGAGTAACACCAATAATAGCCTACCAAAGATTGCAATTATTCCCCCACCCCGCGTAAGAACTCCCCAGCCTGATACGTTTTGCTTGGTAAGAGTGTTTTGAATCGCAGCGACTGCAAGTCCAGCTGCCCCAGTGATCAATGTGGCTTCAATTGCAAGACCGACGGCGTCTTTCGGCATGTACGCTGCCTCATCCTCAGAAGCCATGGTGCAGTGAAGCAGAAGGGCTTCCCTTGCGCATGCAGCTTACGTTGATGCTGTCATAAGGAACCCTGATGTGGAGGAAGTACAGTATTGGTATGAGCTAAGAAGGTAAGCTCTACGAGTCCCCAAAAAGCGCTTGCCAAGCCTCGGCGAAATCAAATTCCGGTTCCGATGCATGTTCGGCCTGGCAGCTAGCAGCTGTTGATGATTGAAAACTATCTTCAAATTCAAGTTCCCATTCCTTTCTTGCAAGCCGGCTACTGTTGCCTGTTTTTAGCCACGTATATCCTCTTTGTTTTAACCGCCTGTACTCTACTCATATACGGTACCCCATTCTCAAACCCCCCAGCATCAGATCTTCCGGACAGAATCCACAGAGCTTCGCAGCGCTTTTTGCGGGCGCCATCTCCTCCGGCTACCCGGCCAGCATTGGAGCCTTCGTTGTCTTGCCTCTGTTTGTGGAGAACGAAGGTCTCACTATTGGCGCCCGAGACCAGGAAAGGACAAGACGGCGAGGAACTCCTTAGCCGCTCCAGCTTGAATGAAACACATAATGTCTAGATGGAATAGATGAGAAAAGGAAGTCTGCTTTAGGGCAGTTTCTAACACCACTTTGTCATACAACTGCGGCCTTGCCCCATTGCGGAAAGCCAACATCCGTCATCGAGGATGCTAGCCTGCCCAAAGACCTTACACACGCCATCATGAGGATCCTTCTTAGCGGAGGCGAGTACCACGAAAGCACTGAGAGAGTGGTATACTGATCATCCTCTTCTTTCAGGCAAGACCGCGCCCAGGCTCCTCAGCGATCTCTACGATTATGACCCTAGATATATGACACCGACAGCCTACAATATCCTCACCAGTCTTCCGTACTTTGACGAGGAGGAGCCAGAGGACCTCCCTTTGCTTCCTCCGGGGAAGAGCTGCAAGCATAAGTGGTCACTGAAAAAAAATCAGAGCAACCTCCCTGGCGATGGCTATAAGCCGGATTCGTCGACCGTGTGGAAAATCGCGCTATATTGCTCAGTATGTCGGTCTCATTTGGATCTCTTAATAGATTTTCAGGAAGGAAGCGCTTTTTCTTCACCGTGCCCGACTAGCTCTAGGCCGTTGCATCATTTCATACACCGACCAGGTTTATCGAAGCCTCGACAGCATGGCTTCCTTGCTCCAGATCCAGATACCGGGTTCCCATGGGTCGATGAGCAACATTTCCAATGCTCTGCGGTCGAATGTTCTGCAAAACTAGTTATTTGGTTCAAGCCACCCAGACTTGTCCCGGATTGGGTGAAACAGCTTACCGACAAATTTATGATCAAGACTCGAGCCGAGAAAGCAATGGCAGAGGACCCGAAACGGTTTGAGGGTCATGCTGTTCCACTGCCAATAAACGTCCTCAGCAATCTGCGGGTTTATATCTGGAACGCTGTTCAAACTCCAGAAAAGAGCAGGAAAATTCCAGGGCACAACAAACAGTTCCTATTGAGCTTAGGAGAGTCTTGTGCTGATTTGCTTGAGTATATTGGATTCACACGTGAGGTAATGTTTACATGTTGTATATGAAATTGACGGAGTTGATTTGGTGACTGTAGGGAGAGGATTGGCTACCACCAGAGCCTGAAGTCCCTTCGCCAGACTATTTGTCAAATTCACTCAACGTTCGCTTGGATGATCTACTTAGGGAACTGTATGTCCTTATCTTCGAGAGACCGGACGATGAGAGGATTACTATGAACTATCAGTACATCCCCGAATGGGCGAAGAAAGATTTAAGTGCCGTACTAGGTTGTCTGGACTGTAAGTGAAGCATTCTCTATTGAATTTTCGTAATTGACCAAAGCTCATCAATCTTAGTCCGGCAAAGCACACGCTCTCGGACCGTTGATCTGACCGAGGCCAAGGAAGAGCACCCGTAAGTCCAGGTCTGAAAACCAAAGTCCGTACATTCGCAGGCTTATGATTTCCAAGATGGCACGCCGGATTAGGTGCTACCGCCGACTTCCATGACGAGCTCATAGAATTCTCTTATGAGCGACAACTAGAAATCGATCCTTATAACACTCCATATTACTTGGAGTGTCTCCAGGGAATAGCAAGGGGGCGTCACAGCGAAACCCTTCACACTAAAGTTGCGATAGAGGCTTCCGAGAACCGAATTAGCTTGAAGGACGTCAGGGCCGCCTTCAAGGAGCTTGGTCTCGATTCTCGGTCTGACTACGAGGACGACACTATCATTGGCACGTTCCAGTCAAGAGTTTCTGATGCCCCTAAACAAGAGACAGAGATGCGAAGGGCTTTAAAGATAATTGGCCAAAGCCGCAGAAGTGAAAAGATCGAATTTGTAGCCTCCCAAGGTACGCTAAAATCTGCAATGAAATGTCTGGCCAATGAGTTACTGAGTGAATCATAGCTGTCACGAATTATGAACAAGCGCTTCTCTACCTCGAAGCGTCCGCCGATTTTACCGATGACTTTATTGTCTCGATGTACACTGTCAAGGTAAACCCGGTTGACTTTGTCCCCTAACACATGATTCACACTCACCTTCGCCTCGATTCAATTCTGAAATTGACGTCAATGCATTTGCTGATCGCATCCTTCTTCCCTACCTAGATCGATCAACCATCGTCAGAGGAATCTATAGCACGCCACGCCGTCGCCCTGATTGCCGATCACCGCAAGAGTAACGCTCTCAAGCATTGGCTTGAGACCGGTGCACTGGGCGAGGTGGAGATGGATGTGGGTCAGGCATACGTTCGCCTGGACATCAGTGACCGAACACTTGACGACGAAATTATTCTTGCTCAATACGAGTCCTTGATCGCAGACAGCCCATCTCAGGTTGGCGACCTGAAGAATGCTCTCGCGGCAATTGCAAAAGCGAAGAATTCTCGACGCCTCAAGGGCTTCCTGAATCTTGACATGAACTCATCGGAGCATCCTATATCCGAATGGCCAGTAGGACTAGAGAATATTGGCAATACATGCTACCTCAACAGCTTGTTACAATTTTACTTCACCATCAAGCCGCTAAGAGACCTTGTCTTGAAGATTAAGGAGTTCAAGATGCCGACAGATGGAGAGAGTCTCAAATCAAAACGAGTAGGATCTAGGAATGTGTCGAAAAAAGAAGTCGATCGTGCGCAGCAATGTGAGTAATATCGTTGACTTTGAATGAACGGCCATTGACTTGCACAGTCGTCGATCAACTGAAGAAACTTTTCGAAGATATGATCGCTTCTTCCAAAGCTTCAGTAACGCCAGAACCAGAACTTGCCCGCCTCACTCTTGTAAGTTCTTCCAAGGAGGAACACATACGTCGTCAGTCGATGCTCAGTCCTACCCGTCCTTCACTGGGGCAGATCAATGGCAGTCCTGTCTTTGGTCCCCTGGGTCCTCCAAGTCTATCTCAGAAAGACACAGAGATGTCTGATGAGGCCCCACTCGAAGCTAAAGACTCGAATGCCGTCAACAACGATCCCAGCGGCGATGACGCGAGCGATATAACTTTGGTTGATGGTCCGTCTGCGACAGAAGATGATGTTATGATCTTAGATGATGACGATGGTGAGAAAGGCGTACAACAGAAGTTCTTCGAGGATAAGGAGAACATGCCGCCCACCAAAGAATCAGTCAGAGAGACCTCGCCAGAGACATACTTGAGACCGCTTGGCGAGTCTTCCCCGTCCCGTGTGAATGAGCAGCAAGGCTCTTTAAATCTTTCGAATGGGATGGAGAGTGAGCCCCAAGATTTCAATAACGAAAACTCAAAGTCATCCGAGACTGGACAAGGTGATTCTGGAGATGAAAAAAAATCGATTCCTGCAGCGCCGCCGAACAGACCTCCGCCAGTCCCGCCAAGGCCAAAGCCAATAGAAACGAATGCTGTCCAAGAGGCCGAGTATGGCGCTCAACAGGACGTCACTGAAGTCATTACAAACGTACTGTTTCAATTACAATGTGCTATCAAGGCCGAATCCGTTGACGAATCTGGGGAACAGATTGACCAAGTCAAACGCCTATTCTTTGGGAAACAGAAATCTTACACGACTAACAGACAAGGGAGAATCAGGACCAAGGAAGAATATATGTCCGACATCAAGGTCGATGTAGCTACCGGTTCCCGTGATATCTACGCAGCTTTAGACGGCGCCTACGATGTCCAGGAAGTTGAAGTACGTGGAGACATCGAACCACAGTACACATCAATCAGTCAACTCCCGCCTATCCTGCAAGTACACGTTCAACGGGTCCAATTCGACATGGTGAAGAAGTCCGTGTTCAAGTCGAATCATCATCTGGAATTGAAAGAGACCATCTACATGGATAGGTACATGGATTCCTCTGATGCAGATTTAATGCAGAGACGTCGAGAATGCTGGGAATGGAAGAAGCAGCTCACTAAATTGGAATCGAGGAGGGTCGAGCTTGCCACTTCAGATGTAAGTGAGCCTTGCATCTCAGATTAGTTCATGACTAAAATGTGACCATAGATGGGGATGGACATGCCAGAAATTCTAGAAGCCACAAGTGACTTCTTGCGCCAAATTCCCGACTTGGACGACAAAGATCCCATCGAGGTTCCGCCCGGTTTACTGCAAGTGCTCGACAACGCTGCAACAGAGGCCAAAGTGGAACTAGAGTGTAAGTTTACAACATGGGATAGCGAAGCTCAAATGCTGACCCGTACTCCTAGCCCTTGACTTGCAGATCAGGGACCTGAAGTCCCACATTGCCAGCCAATTCAACGATCTTCAAAAGCTCCCATATCGATTGCAATCAGTTTTCATCCACAGGGGTTTCCATAACTCTGGTCATTATTGGATATACATCTACGATTTCACAAGGCAATTGTGGCGAAATTACAACGATGGTTATGTAACGGAGATCAAAGATACCAAGGAGATCTTCGAGCAAGAACCTGGGGATCGACCTGCTACGCCATACTTCTTAGTCTACGTCAAGGACGAATCGAAAGAAGACTTAGTCGATTCTGTATGCCGAGACGTCGTCGAGCCGCCGGCAGAGGAGCAGCAGGATACTGTGATGGAAGACTATAGTCAAGCTCAAGAAAGCCAAACAGATGGCAACACCTACAGGCCGGTCAATTCATCTATGGACTATGGCACAGTAGAATCCTACAATAGTCAAGGCTGGACTCGTGGTGAAGGCTGGGTAGATAGCAGTCCCTGGAATCAGAAGGAAGCTCAGGTGTATTCGAATTGGTAAAGGATCCATGTCCTAAAGGATCAAGGACCCAACGCTTATCGAGTGCAGACTATCATAGTCTACCACCGGTCCACCGGTGTTCTCCAATCCCAGTCCGCATTCTCGGGCGTTGTGGTGTCCATTCGATAATTTCTCTACGTGGGCAAACATATGTCGACATCACCAACGTACAGCAACTTTTTCGATTGGTTGCGGAGACACATGGATCCGGTACATTTTACCACGGCTCTTCTACAAGAAATCTTCACGAAGAAGCGATCTGTGATCTAAGAAAACCAAACAGCAGTGCAGAGCGGGGTTTGGCACTGGTGTTAGTCCACTTCTCTGTAAAGAATTAATATCAGCGTTTCAGCCTTTCCAGACCTCAGTCGGTCTGACTTTTTTATGCAAGTCAGCATAATTACCCAGCATAGCACCGGAGCCTTGGACCAGTGGACTCCAGGGAGTCAGATAGCACGGGTGGTTGTGCGTAATGATACCAATACAAATCGTTGATTTCTGTACCAATTCGATAATTGTCCCCGATGCCAATTGTAGAAATTGATCTCTTCAGCACACTTATGCTGGAATGACTGTATAGTCAAGGGCAGAGCATCGAAGAGAGAGACGGTATACCTTCATGTAGATGGACATCAGATACGAGTACACTAAAGACAATATAGCTAGCTCCAAAGAATGCCAAGATTTCACCCACTGGAACAATTTTGGAGTTCACCGCCATCCACATCAAAGATTTCTCTGGCTTTTCAGTGTCCTCTCCAACAAGCGGCCTGGCATGTGATAATACTCATGTTTCTAGTTGATCTCTCAAAATATTTCAGCAAGTACAATGGCACAAGAGTCTAGATCTGATAGCCTGGAGGTTTGTGCACGCTCAACCCCACAATATCCTGGTGTTTAGATTAACACTCACCGAAATCGACAGGAAAGACTCAAGAGCCATGCTAGATCATTTGATGGCCTCCTCTCTTTGATTCCTGCCAAGTACTATTACGGAGAAGACAACAGTGTAAGTTCCGCACCTTCAGGCTTTGTCGACTTGAGTCTTTGACCGGCTCCGAGCTGATCGTATACTCCAACTCTAGGACCAATGGCAGAGGAAAAAGCAAACAAAAGAAGAGGCACGAGCTGCTAAGCGTGCAAAGCTTGATCCGGACAACGCAAAGAGTGCAAAAGATGTGTTAGATGAGCAAGCCACAAAAGCTCGGAAAAGGAAGCGAGAAGAGGAGGGCGAGGTTTCAGAAGTGGATGATATGGAGGTCGAGAAGCCGATACCCAGTTCAGTCAAGAAAGGTAATCAGACGAAGAAGCAGAAGAGGGAGGAGAAGGAAACAGCCAGTGATCGCGCCGAACGGAAGCCGGTCAATGACACTGCAGTGGATGAGTATGAACCAGATCCCGAGACCCTGAGAAAAGCTACGGCAGAGAAGAAGAGGCAGAAGAGAGAACAGAAGAAGGCTAAAGAGAATGGAAAGGCTGCAAAGGCGAAAGCGAAGAAGGAGAGAAAGGCACAAGAGGCTGCGCTTGAGGAAGACTCTAAAGATGCTGCAGCCGGTGCAGACTTTAGCGATGAGGATTACGAGGCCGTTCAGAATGCGGTGATTGATCGGATTGAGATGGAAAACATCACAGACGAACCACAGATCGATCTTTCATCTACAGCTACACCGTCGACAAGCCACTCTCCTGCCTTCGACGCTTCAGCAAACCACTCGGGCTCCTCCTCCATCTCCTCAATCGCACTTCCCACCGCAAGAGAAGACCCTCAACCCGCAAAGCCGTTACATGAAGAACCACAAGAAGAACCACAGGAACCAAAATCCACCCCTGAAGATATCAAGGCTCGCTTCGCAGCCCGCATCGAAGCCATGAAACGAGCCCGCAACGCCGACGGTCTCAACGGTGCACCCGCTCGCAATCGACAAGAACTAATGGAAGCTCGCCGCCAAAAAGAAGAGCAACGGAGAGCCCAGAAGAAGGAGTTGCGTCAAAAAGCCAAAGAAGAAGAGCGGCGGAAACGCAACGAGACCCTAGCTCGCGGCTCTCCACTCCTTTCAGGGTCGCCTCTGCTCTCCCCAGATTCACCTCTTAACGCACCCTCATCACCAACCAGCAACCTCGCCTTCAGCCGTGTCGATTTCGCCGACGGCCAACATGCCTCCGCCAATCTGAATGCCATCATTGAGTCAAAGACCAAGCCAAAAGGCCCATCAGATCCCCGGACCGCACTTCTAGCGGCCCAGAAGAAGCAATCCCGCCTCAACGGCCTCGATGAGAGCCAAAGGGCCGACCTGGCGGAGAAAGACACGTGGCTCAACGCTCGTAAGCGAGCGCACGGTGAACGTATACGCGATGATACCTCTCTGCTCAAGAAAACGCTGAAGCGCAAGGAAAAGCAAAAGAAAAGGAGCTCAAAGGAGTGGAATGAACGGCTCGATGGCGTGAAGAAAAGCCAGGACATGAAGCAGAAGAAGCGAGAGGCCAATTTGCAGAAGCGGAAAGAAGAGAAGGGGAAGAAAGGTGGAAAACCGGGTGCGAAGAAAGGGAAAGGGAAACCCAAAGGAAGGCCAGGATTTGAAGGAAGTTTCAGAGCCAAGGCGCCGAGTGGAGGAGCGGACGGCGGGAGGAGAAGGTGACGAGCTTCCGGCAGCGATGAGGCGGCGTTTGACGCAGCGTTGACGACTCGGGCTCGATGGCATGGGAGTTGGAGACGCGCACGTGACCCGAGGGCTATGTAGGTGATTTCGAGACCGGCCAGCTCCATTGCACGGCTTTCTGCAACAGATCAGACGTCCTCCATGAAATCTGCAGCTGCCCGGCATGACGCGGACCCGAGGTTTCGAACCAAAGGAGACCGGACAGGAGCGGTGACGGGAAGTGTGTTTTTGAGCATATAACCTCGATGCCACGAGCATGCCAATCCTCTCATCCCCTCGCTCTTGCGTTTCCCTCCCATCCCAAGTAGCTGGCCGACATCTCCCCCATTCGACCCCCGAACCCGCCAGCTGCCCGTGGAAAACCCGCCTTCGCACTCCGGGGTGGACGACTGTAAAGTAGAGCTCATCCCAGTCATCGGCAGTATCGGTACTCTGACCAGCGATTGAAAACGTGAGCGACACCGGGGCCGGAAGGGACACCGCGCCCCCCCCCCAACCAATGGGGGGAAGGACCCGATCGATCGATCGAGTGGGCCGGACGAATCCTCGAGCCCAGCGCAAGATGGCCATCGTCGTCCTTTTCGTCCCGTAGTCCCCGACTCCGCGAGTTGGGAAAGCGGCACGGAAGCCTCCGATGAAGTTCGCATCGTTGGGAAGTTTGTTCAAATTTGGCGGTACGGACAGACTGAATGAATGACGGCTGGCTAATGAGACGGTAATCTAGGTTTCTGCTATCGAAAAGCACAAAGGACGGAGGGGCGGGAAGGGATTGGTATCCGGGCTGCTTTGGGAAGAGCTACAGTGAGGTTCGCGGCGATTGTTCAGACGGAGAATACTTAGTGGTAGCGAGGTAGCTTACGCGAAATGTCAATCAAAGCAGGCATGATGCTTGAAGGATGATGTTGATGACACGGGTAGGGCTCAGGCATGGGAGTTGCATGGATTAGATCATGTCAATTGATGCGGCGTCAGAAGGATCGAAATGGGACTGTGACAGCGCATGTGGTTTTTGCATGGCTTGATAGGCTAATCTGTATTGCTATCGTAAGATCTGACCACCCAAGCTCGCGCGAGGTTCCCAGATCACCTTCCCTGCCTCGAACCAATCGCAAAAATGGCCGAAACATGATGCGATGCAGCATGTCAAACTTCAGGTAGCCGAAACGTGCATCAAGATCTGGGGCTAGGCCCGGTCGTGGGTTGACCGACCAACGACATCCCAACAATGTGTGGAAGTGGAGACGGGTTTCCTTGTTTAATCAACATCTCGGAACATTGTGGTAGGAGAGGTATCGCACGCTTGCACCGAAAAGGTAGCAGGGGACTTTGGGTCGAAGCGATGATCGATTGATTAGGCTGGCAAACACGGAGCAGACCTCACCGGCCACAGGCTTTTCGGCAGATGGGAGGCCTGGCAGCGTTTCGCAAGATGATCTGCAAAGCGAGAAAGTAACGCCATGCTCATGGAGCTATGTACGAATGACGGTAGCTAAGACCAATGGAGGGTATCATATTTCAAGGAAAGGAAGCGACCGAGAGATGCTTAGGTGGTATTCTCAGTCCACGATGTGTCGTTGATGAAAGCATCCCAGCCTCCGTCGATACCGACAGGGGTGACTGTGCCGCTGCCAGATGCGCTGTTCCCACCGGCATACATCTGACACTTTGAGAAGTCATGGAGTGAAGCATCGTAGGGAAGCTGAAATGCTGGCGACGGTGCTGGCGATGCAGATATTGTCGTAGATGGCTGAGCGTAGATTTGATGGCGAGGTGACATGTCCAGAGCACTCGGTGCGAGCGTGGCGCTCATGCCATCATATGACTGATTGAAGCTTCGCGGCTTCTGAAAGGTAGATGGAGTCGTGTTGTAATTGTACGACTGTGGCAGGGTTTCGCTTCCAGCCATCAACATGGATGTAAATGAATCATTAGGATCCAAGGCCGGTCCTAAGAGCATTTGTGCTTCGGTCGGAAGCGATGTAGTGAAAGGGCTCATATTGGAAAATCCATTCATCGCACCGAATGAGTGCTGTCGTTGCACTGGGGAAGGCTGTTGGGGCGCCCTCATCTGCTGTGAGGTCTGACCTTCTTGTTTCACGTTGGACGTGGATGATGTTTGGGGAAGCGCAGGCATTGCATGCATGGACTGTGGTGTCACTGGTTGCCCCGTTGGCGAGTGCGACGATGACTTGGATGATGCTGATGTACGACGACGATCCATCTGGGGTACAGCCTGGATCGGACTCGGTGCAGGGATGTTCGGGGAATAGGTTGGGGTACCATGGGAACCGGAGGCTGAGCGTGCTTGATGGCTAGGTCGGTAACCAGGTGTTCCTGGTGTGGGATATGGCTGAGCGAATGATGGTGATTGCTGCTGAGGCATCTTGTGGGCCATGAATGGAGAAGGATATATGTTCTGATTATGCGCGAATTGTGGAGCGTTGGGGTATTGCTGGGCGTATGAGTTCGTGATGGCCTGATCCAAAGCAGACCTCATGGCGACATGGTTTGTGAGATATGCCGACAGGCGTCGATTAAAGTCGGCTGATCCAGTTTGCAGGTGGGCGGTAAGTCGTCGGTACTGCATGGGTAGGTCATCATCTTCCTCTTCATACATCTCCTCGTTGACCACATCTTGTTCGGTGACTCGTAGTGAACGACCGGTGCGTCTCTTGTGAATCTCCGAGGCTCGTCGTGCCGACTCGACCCTAGCCTCAAGACTGCGGTCACTTCTCCTGGAGGCGGCAATGTAGGCACTGTAATTCAATAAGAAAATGGTTCATAGAATGAGGTAAGAGAGCATGCCATACCGCTCTTGATTTTCCTCATGGGTCCGTTCAGTCTTCAAAGCCTTTGCAGGCGGAATGGTACGCTGGGGAGGCATGTTGATATGATTTGTTGATCGCCTTGCCTTGTGCAGAGAACAGAATCCGACAATACAGCTTGTAAGTAGAAACCGAAGCTCAGGCTCTGTCCGAGAGGAAAGGTGAGAAGGAAGAATCTGGGGGAAGAGAGGATTGTCGGCGGTTATGTGTTGCAGGCAGCGACCAGGCGTCTGGAATAATATCGCGTGTTTCGGAGGCTTGAACTTTATGGGTCCAGGGCTTTGGCGACAATCGAGTCGCACGGGCACAGAGCAGAGGGCAAAGGGTCGACGCGGGCGAGTGATGAGACAGCAGTTGAGGGAGAGTCGAAGAATAATTGGAGGATTGCTGTTGGGGGATGGAAGGAAGAGAATTGAAGAACTTGTTTGGTGTGAGGTGGGAGGGGCGGGCAATATCGATATAGAGACCCTGCGATGGTCAGGGCAGCGGACCGCGGGGATCGATCTGGAATTGCGGATTGGACCTGCGCCAAACTGCCGAGGGCGGGCGTTTCGTACTCGTGAGTGATGGGAAGAGTGATCGTCGGCTAATTGAAAAAGAGGACAATGATCAGATGTAAAGTATGGTAGAGTAAAGAGGAGTTTGGAGATCGGATGATATAGCGGTTGGGAGGAAGAGTGATTTGATGAAAGCCGGGAAGAAAAAGAGTAAGGGAGGAAGAAGAGGTTTTTTTTTTGATTTGGGAGGAGAGAATTAAGTCCTTAATTCATGGAGGAAGAAGAAAGAAGGAGAAGAAGAAGAGGAGGAAGAAGAAGTAGAAAGTAAGAGAGATGTGGGATGTGGGGATTTTATTACTTATTAATGGAAATCAATCAATCAAGTAGCGTAATTGAAGGAGGAAGGAAGAGGGAGTGAGGGAAAGGGTGAGGGAGAGGGAGAGGGAGAGAGACGCGACTACGTTTGATAAGAGACCAATCTATTGAGAGATGGAAGTACTCGGCTACGGCTCCGGTCGGGAAGCTAAGAAGGTAATAGGCCAAAGAAAGGAGAAGCAGGAGTGAATAATAAAGGAAAAGGTAAAGTAAAAGTGAAGTAGGGTCCAAGGCTTGTCAGTTGTCACTCACTTCAATCGTAATAATCGTAATCGTAAACAGCGACACGATACGCGACAACTTCTGACAAAGTCCCCTATACCCGAAAGGGTAGGCAATCGGATGATCGGGAGATCATTTCACGGAGCACACACCTGAATCTTGAGGAGCTTGCCCCACCAAGAAGGCTAAAAAGGTGAAAAGGAGGACTACACCCGGGCTCTTTTCTTTCCGAGAAGAAGAATGGAACGATGATTGGTCCATCTGAGATGAGAAACTTTCACTGCCAGATTAGCGAGACTAGCGCGATCTGAGGAAAAGGGTTCACAAGGGTTTCCCAAGGGTTCCCACTTTCTTAGGCTTTGGACCATGGCTTCGCTTGCAAGCTTTCTGCAACGCCTTCAAACGAGGTCAACCGCCGATTTGTCAATCTTCTTTCCTCTGCCTCATTCACCTCTGCCGGTTAGTTGGCTAAGTTCAAATTCAAATTCAAATTCAAATTCAAATATATGGAAGGCTTCGGACCCTGCACGTCACAGCGCAATCGCCCACAATTCCATCTCTCATCAGAATTCGCCGCTGAACAAATGCCCTGCTCGAGGGCTCATCTCCGCAACGCTAAAGATCGGCTGGCCAGCCAATGCAGCCCGAAGCAAGGTGGTGCAGCCATGCGTACCTCCAATGATTGTCGAACCGCAAAGGAAACGTAGTCAGCTGCTTCCCGATTTTTGGTCTCGGGTTTTCTCCATTCCACATGTCAAGTCAAAGGCAATAGGTAATAGGGACACTGTTCGTGGGCACATACCCCTTCTCCCTTGGCCTCAAATTGTAGTGGGGGCGAGCGGAGAAGAGACCGTGACCGTGTGTCAGGCTACCAGCAAGATAACCAGACGAAGCCAATGGAGAAAGCTAAGACACCCTACCGTTAATTTAGCGGTTGCTTGTTCCCTAAAGTACCTTAAGGTAGAGTAGGTAGTGCTACTGCTACGACGGAGGTAGCTCCTTTGCCACGACCGGATCGACCGATGGCAACGGTACTGCATGGGGAGCACATCGGACCTAGCCACATGCGATCAAAGCCACTGTGAGAAGAAAAGCATTCCGATTGACTTCTCCGAGTGCCGTAGATCTGACACTTTGGGTCGATCTGGATTCCTCTACTGACTCTACATACGAAGCACAGATTACGGATTCGATACAGTAGTAGTACGCATGCGATTGTGCTTCTGACAATCAGCCGCTTGTTCCATCTGGTGCAGATCCAAGGCCTTGCTCGGAGAAGCTGATTGGATCAATTCTCATTATTATAGTACGGTGTAGAGTAGAGTAGCCAACAGAGCTTGACTCGCCTTCGCTTCTTTTCGCCAGCTGGCAACTCCTGACCATTCATCGGCTTTGCTGAGAGTACCACGCAATAATAATGAATGGGTCTGACTTCCTCGGGCTCGCACATGGTGCCCTGCGTCACTGTAGAATCAAAAACCGCAAAGACGGGACATACTACTGTGAGAAGCATGATCAAAAGCGGCATCCTCAGTTTCAAGGGTCCAGAACACGATACGAGCATGGGTACTCAGTGATGCGGGATAAGGAAAATCTGCACTCTAAGGTACCGAGTGCGAGCGCGTGAATATGCCAGATCGACAGGTGTGCATCATGATCCATCTTAATCCTGGTGCATATCGCTTTCGGGCGAGACACATGAAATGATAAAGCCCAGGCCAGTCCGCGCACATTGCCGTTCCAATTATTCACCAGCAATGTATCTCGTACTCGACCGCTCCAAGCCGCCACTTCTTGCTCTGGCTGCTGCCAACTCCTTTCCTGCTCCTGGGTGAGTGCTGCGCTTTTCAAGAAAAACGACAATCCCTCGACATCTCAACACTCGGACCCTTCCTCTGCTTATTTGTCATCTGACGCAACTCCAGCGTGCAGATGCCCGGTTGGCAAATCTCTACCGAATGCAGGAGAAGCTCGTACAACTCCAAAAAGCAGTGAGACCCGCGTCCCTCCAATCAGAACCGGTCCGTCGAGCGCGGACCCCAAACGGTGAGACGGTGTTCTGGCGTCATACCGCGACGCCATGGCCAGATTACCGAGATCTTGCCCTTGGAGAAAATATGCCAGATGGACAGGTGCTTCGTGATCGGTACCCGTCCGTGGTCCATCCGTGGTCCCTGCATGACGCATGCCCTTTTTCTTCGAGGGCAAAGGCAAGGCACTTTTTAGCCACCTGCCCGATCGAGCGGACATGTTCGGTGTCGGCAGCCTGGCAACCCTTCCTCAGACCAACTGGCCGTTCGAGACGTTCGCCCAGCTGAAAATTTCCCAAGACTGAGCGGTGTTTCAGGGGGCGCAATGTGAGATCAACGTTCGATGGAGCGATGGTGAGTAGCCCCCCCCCCCCCCCAATTCGCAAGTCTTGAACCCGTCAGCAACAGCGAATCAGTCCTTTGAGATCGAGGGGTCGAGCCCAAAACACATCGTCATTGTGGTCAGGCACCTCAAAAGGGACGAATCCGCGACGTTTCGGCGGTTTGAAGGGAAACAATCCCACGCGAACTATGGCTTTGAGAGCTCGAGTGTGGAATCATCGTCGGCTTGGTAGGGATGGACTATTTTCATCATTTCTAAGTATCTCACACTGGGTTACATTATGCCATTCTGGACTGGCGTGTTATTGGAGTCGCTCCGCCAAATGTTTCAGGAGAAGCAAGTCTCTCGGCATCTGGGCATCTGTTATGATACGCAGACAATTTCCATCCGCCTCGTACCTGGTGAGTCGTGATGCGCCATGTTTTCCGCGAGAATACAGTAGGAACCGTGCAAAGAAATTCCCGTCCCTCTGCGCTTTCAAGTTTATGCGACCTTATAACAACGAATCCAGCCGGGTGAAAACGCTCAGGCAAGCAGCTACGACCTGTGTAATTATAAGAATCAGTATCCGTATAAAGTGTCAGCGACGGTAGAACATACCTCAAGCTGTAATTCTCTGTCCTTATTCTTATTGACCTCATCCGTAATCACTTGCCCCAAGTTTGCCCCTATCCCCTGGGCGCCCCCCGTCCGCTTCCCAAACGGCCACTGCGAGTATTCCGCCAATAGTTCATCGACCTGCGCGAACGCCCTTTCTCTGGCCTCATGACCTAGAGTTGCCAAAGCGTTCTCCAACACATTTGCCGCATAGGCCGCGCATACCATCGCAATCGTTCTGATGTATCGGAACTCCATTTCTTCGGGGAGGAACTGGCTGGGTGGAAGGACGACCGTCCGGTTCGTCAATACGTTGCGGACCCGCCTTCGAATCTCGTCCTTCGCGCCTCCATCCGCGACTGGGTGGGTGGCCATGTCGAAGAGGAGGAAGTTGCGCTTTTCGGTGCGCAGGATGCCTTTGTCTACAAGACCTTTGGCGAGGCGCTCTCGTACTTGCTTTAGCTGGTAGCCGATCTTCATGAGATTCCATGTCTCCCCTAGTGAAGACGTCAGTCCTAGGAGCTCTGCATGATAAGCGTAGATTTGCTGGCCCATACCACTCATCAGATCTATCCACGAACTAACGCTCATCTTCTCACTCGACTTCATCATCTTCAATGCCTCATCCAGGAGGACTTCTCCAGTCAAGTTGTCATCAATAACCTCAATGACCCTGTCTGCCAACGGGAAGCGCCGCCTCGACGAGTCCTTTTGCATGCTCACGCGGCCTCTGAAAGCTAACTCGATGACTATGCATCCTCTTAGAGCGTAGGAGATGTTATCGTTCCAGAACGACAGATAGCCCTTGCACACGGTCAATGTCAGTCTCGAATCGTCGAAAGCTCAGAAAGGCCAATTGTACCTGCTTGTCCTTCAACCCCATCAGCAGCACCTCCTCCATGAGCGTCAATTTAGGCTGCTTGCTCCGCTCCTCACTCTCACTTATATCCCGTGGATCGAAAGCTATCTTGTGTCCATTCTCTCCGCCTGTGTAGGATGTTTCTGGTGCACGGTCGTTGTAGGCTTTTGGCGCTGGGGAGCTGACTCGGCTTGCGTCTTCTCCATCCTCAGCGGTAGACGCGGAGGCTCCACCCCCTCCCCCAGCGCCACGGCGACGAGTCAAGCCGCCGGCTGACGCCATGGAGCTGTGACCTCGAGCTTAGGAAGAGTGTTGTCGATATTCTTGCAGATTGGTGACAGGACTGCGGAACGCGGGAGGTGAAAGCATCCGCTCGTGTCACCTTGGGTTCGGCGGCAAGAAATCTTTGATTCCTGAGCTGCGACTGAAGTCTCCCTTTACTTCGCTGTCAGTCAAGGCGCTGATATTTCAGATTGAGAATCCTTCGAATTCCTTTGCGGTGTTGGGTTGGGTACTCCGTTGCATAGGCTACGCTCCGTTTCAGGAGCTCGCTTACGCTTGCCGCAGCATTGGCGCCTACAAAAGAATAGTACTAGTAGTCCCATCCGAGATATGCCTCTAGGCATTCCGGGAAGCAAATGAAGTCCAAATTGTAAAAAAGGATTGGTAGAGTGTTTGTGTTTATTTGTACGCCAAAGTTAGACATGATTGGGCTCTAGAATAGTACAGCTACCGGGGCCTTCGAAACAAAACCCTCGGAATTGACAGAATCCCCTGGATGCTCCTCCACCTCCCATTATCCGGGATACTGATTGGCTTCAGTGAGCTGAAGGAATGTATCAGCAGCTGTATGTCATTCGTATTCTTCCACGTGCTTACCGTCTGGCTGGCCCAGTATGTAGTTTACTGCTTTGTCGACTGCAAAAAGATTAGCACCCGAAGAGCCATGCCTTTCCACAGAGAAAACATACTGCTCAAAAGCGAGTCTGCCTCCTTGTCCGGAATCTCAATGCTAAATTCCTGTGCGAAAGTCAGACCGGGCAAATCCGCTCCCTACCATATAGCATCTCACCTCCTCAATAGCCATAACCACCTCCACAGTGTCCAAACTGTCCAGACCTAGGTCATTCGAGAAGTGTGACGTGTTCGAGAGCTTGCACCAAGTCAGACATGCCGTTGTGACCCAAAATTATTGCCCACCATACCTTCGACGCATCTTTGACCTGAATTGTAATCATTTAGCCCACTTGTCCATATCTTAAAGCCACAGCCAGCCATACCTTGTCAAAGTTCTTCAGCAGATCCATTATTCTCCCCTCAACCTCTGGCTTCGACAATCCTGCTGGTGCTGAATAGTATCTGATGCCTGGGTATCGTGGAGCTGGAGTCGACCGGGTGGATGTGACGGAGAAGCAGGGAGCAATTGCTCGCGACGCTGGAAGCTGTGTCCTTGTCACGGACCTCGAGGCGCATCGGACGGACTGGATTAGAGCGGTACGGATCATCTTGATTTTGAACGTTCTAACGTCGGGTTATGGTCGTTGTAATGTTCTTGGTGACGAGCTCCGACCTCTTTCGCATCACTACACTAGCGACCGTTAGCGCCATTTCCATCACCTCCACCTCCCAATTCGCACCTCGCCACAGCATTCTTCTCTATACCCGCCACCATGGCTTCAGCACGCTCTCTCATGATGCTCGCCCGCGCGCGTCCCACCTCCATTCCCCTCACCTCCTTCCTCGCCACACGTACAACAATGCCATCCGCCACCTTCACCAGCACCTCCCGCCTAGCCGCAACTCCAGCTGGCCCACCACCCCAAGGCTTCCGGCTCGCACGAAAGGAGCGTTGGGATGAAAGCAAAGAGTCTGCCCTCGACAAAGCCGGTAAATACTTTCTCCTTACCGAGATGCTGCGAGGCATGTACGTTGTGCTAGAGCAGTTCTTTCGGCCGCCATATACGATCTACTATCCTTTTGAAAAGGGACCAATCTCTCCAAGATTCCGTGGGGAGCATGCTTTGAGGCGATATCCGACCGGGGAGGAGAGGTGTATTGCTTGCAAGCTGTGCGAGGCTATTTGCCCGGCGAGCGCTATTACGATTGAGGCCGAGGAGAGAGAGGATGGGAGTAGGAGGACTACAAGATACGATATTGATATGACAAAGTGCATTTACTGCGGGTTTTGTCAGGAGAGTTGCCCAGTGGACGCAATTGTCGAGTGTAAGTCACTTCCCTGAGATCACGGACTGTTTGTACGGGCAATGGCTAATTCGTCACTTTTATAGCTCCCAACGCAGAATACGCCACAGAGACGAGGGAAGAGCTGCTTTATAACAAGGAGAAGTTGCTGGCCAATGGGGATAAATGGGAGCCCGAGCTGGCTGCTGCTGCGCGGGCTGATGCTCCATACCGGTAAAACTCGAGAAGAAAACTTCAGGGAAGAGGGGGTTGTGTTGTATATAAAGGGTGTTTCAGCGTGTATACGGTTCGAAGCGTTGCGTGGCTCAGTGTCACAATTTTCAACTTTTGGGAGCATGCGCAAACACTTGCAGACTGCTGTTATGAAACGACTGAGGCTAAGCAGCAGCTATGGGCAATAATTTGAATTGATGACTACCAGTGTCCCTATCTATTCGGAAAGCCGTTCGATGAACTGTCAAAGTTTGAGTCCGGATATGATAATGTGTTGTTGCTACGATCATTCTTACCAAGCGCATGGACCACCTTTGATTCAAGTCAGCATTGCACTCAGAGAGACTCGTCTCGTTCGACGACTCACCGTCCCAATCAGGCTTTCCTCTACCTTCTTACCCCCGCTACTCTCCCACCAGATGGCGCTTCCCTCCCAGATTTTCTCCCTTAATGTATTCCACTCTCTGTACCGGCCAGCTCAGATAGCCCTTCGGGCTTCTCTTCACATCCTGGAGACCTAGCAGTGCACGAAGTACACGATAGCCTTGTGATCAGTACCGGCCCCCATGCCGAGCCTCGTGGTCGGAGAGATACGGTCGCTGGGAGAAACGGGTACGCTCGTGAGGTATGATATGAAGTGAAGTGAAGTGAAGTGACTCGTCAACAGTGCAAAGAAAGAGGCAACCGCGAGAGTGCAGTTGAAACAGAGACGGAAGGAGCGATCCAGCGTGAAGCTCCTCGAAATGAAACCCGCTTCAAGACTATTACGGGGATGATGTACTCTGGCTGCAAATGGGGACGCGAGTTGATTACAATGAGCTGAGCAGTTCAATTTTGCCAGTTCAAAATTGGCTGGTCGAGAACTTGCTAATGTTGTACACTCAAGTAATGCAGGTCACATATCTCCCAAATGCCATGACTTGTAGCGGTCTTGCTTAGAATCTTACAGGTCCACGATAATCTCCCCAAATTCCTGCAATCTGGGTGGTCCGGGTTGTAGCCCGTGGCATACTTTCTTTGCACAGTTCGAGCATGTCGTCCTGACTGCAACGTTCTTCCGTCGATCAAGATATCACAGTCGCCGTGTTATCAACGTCGTTGAGAGAATCAGTATGGTCTTAGAGCGTTTGCTCCAGGCCTACACCCCAAGGCAGAAGCGATATTGCAACTGCTAGCTTCTCACTCGTGCTTCTCCTCACGCCTCCCTTCATTCCCATCTTACTAGTTTGCATCTTGCTTGTTCTCGTACTTCTTTTCTTGCTTCTCTTCCGAATTCGAATCCTCCCCATGCTCACTTGACTTCTCAGACGATTCCGCTTCACCCTGTTGTGCATCAGACTGCTCTCGAGCCTTCTCGGCCTTCCCGCCGAACGGGTGGTCGACTTTCCAGGAGCCCTTGAAAAGATGCTGCACCAGCGCGGTATTTTCATCTGGGCTGCCGCTCTTCGAGTGCGCTTGACCCGATCCGAAAGCATTGATGGGCAGTATAAGCACTGTTAAACATTTCGGAATTAGCATTGCTACGTAAGACGGGACTTTCCAGCCTCGAAACATATCGGCAAAATCAACACTCCCAAGACAGGTCTCCAGACCCAGAATACGGTCCAGAAGAGGAATTCTGGTCTCCGAAAATACGTACCGTCACCAACAAGCTTCGACTCTGTGATACCAGTGATATTATGCCATGTGAAATTTGTCCCAGTGGTATGGGCCAGACCCTCGATAACGGCTCCAGTAAAAAGAGCGGGACCGGTTGTATTCAAGACCTCCATGAATGATGGGCGGATGCCAGAAATTGTCGTCTCCTGCTGTCGTGCTAGCGCCTTCAGACCAGCGACTACCCGGTCCACAGCCATCTCCATCAACAAGTGCCCAGGCTTTGCCAAGATTGTCCAAGTACAGAATTGTAGGTCAAGGCTCCAGTCTCCCCATCGCCCTCCATCGAGCGTATCGTATTCAACGCCAACAACTAGATTTACCTTATTGACGTAAGCTGAAGGCACCCAGTCCTCTATCGGTATCAGCGACGTAGTATCAATGTCACTATATACCCCGCCGTCTCCCAGAAGCACCAGATACCGAATGAAATCGGCGCGTAAGATGGGATCCTGGAGATCAACAAAGATCTCTTGGATGTCAGGCCTGTGCGAGAAGCGGTCTTTGACGTAGCTTTCGGCGCTGTACTGTGTAAGGATTTCGTATCGGTGCTTCTGATTGATCTTCACCCATGACTGAATGGCCTTGCGGTCCTTCTCATCTAATCCTGAAGGACCGGTTCTCGAGGTCTGCCATATTTTCCTGGGGAAAAGGGGGGAATGCTCCGAGGCATTCAATGCTAATGAAGCGAGAGGATGCGGGCAGTCAACTGGTGCAACAGCGTTGACTTTGGCCAAATGAATGAGGCGAAAGCAGAAGAGTGTGCTAATAACGCAATAGATGACCAAGAAGCGAGAAGATTTCAAATCTGGTGGTGATAGATATGGGATGGTACCCATGGCTGGTTGACATTAATGAGAGCAAGCACGAGAGGAGATTCAAGAGGATGTTCCATAGAGTCGAGAACAAGGGGATAGGTAGATAGCACATGGCCTCGTTATTGTTGGAGTCCTAGCTCACGCTTAGATATAAGTGAAACTGACGACTCGCAATTTGTCCCGGAACCTTGTTATGAAAGTCATTGCAAGTTGCAACATTATGATTGAAATTTGATACAAAGTTCGCAAAGCCGACTGGTAAGTAGTGATGAAGATGGAGGAAAGTGAAACAAGATATGCCATGAGATGTGGAAAGCCATCCTCAACGAACGAGACCAGCCCAATTACGAAGGAGCGTGGTAAAATACTTTACGCCCAAGAAAAGTATCATCGAAAACCAAAGATCGTGAAACACCAAAAAGCCGCGTTGTGTGCGCAGTTTTGATCCTGCCTGCGTAGAATTCGTCGGACCGCTCATCACCTTCCCCTGACCCAGGGTCCAGGGGCCTCTTAGGGTCACCGTCTGTCCCACATGGCCAGTCGTTTCATCTTGTGACATCCGGCGTCGTGGCGACACTCCACCTATTGCAGCGTCTGCTTTAACCACATAAGCCAATCGAGTCAAAGGTGAACCAGAAGCTGCAATAAAGCCAATTGGTTTGGAAGAGAGAAAAAACCTGTAGCCAAAACAGATTAGAGGTATCTGATCCATTAAAGGTTCGATTCCTATTGGCGCTGGTACAATGGTGTAGGGGTTTTTATCTTCAAAACAGACGTGGTGGGGGATGAGAATCATCGAATTATGCCTTTGCTACACAAACTCGAGTGGTCGTGGCTTGCCCCAGAAGTCGCACGGTGCAAATCGCCATGTGCCGGCATACTTGCAGCTGAACCAGTAGTGCACAATATAGGGTATGAAGAAAGGCACAGGCGGAAACTTGTGTCTGCCGCCTTCATATGTCGTGTCGGCCAGACCCAGTGCGAAAGGGAAGACTTCCTTCTACAGAACAGAGTCAGCCGTCTTGCGTTGTGGCTTCCGGTTCGGTGGGCGATGCCTTCGAGGCGCCAGTTGAGCGCGTCTTCGCACGGGCTTCAGCCTCAGATACCTTCCAAACTTGCATCAATCCCTCACTGTCATATTTTTTCAAAGTCAGCAAGGTATCGATCTCATCTACCAGATGCTCCTGCAGCGTCGGGCCAAAGCCGTCGATGATACTTTTCCTTTTGTCGCTGCTGTAGTCCTCCGGCGCTGTACTAGAAGCATAATTCTTGAGTGTCTGCAAGCCGGAATGAAACGCATGATGCTGCTCCACACTATGTTGCATCAGTCCTTTATCTCCCGTGAAGTTCTCGAGATCTGGGAAGATGGATTCTTCTTCTGTCTCGTGATGTCTGTCGACGAAATTTCCCCATAGTATCACGAAGTGTAGGAAGTCCTTGATGTCAGACGGGTTGCGGACATTGGGAGCTTGGAGGTAGATGCTGTTGACAGCGCATTCGCTGGCAGCGTGAATGGCGGCATGAGATTTCTGCAAAACACTAGCTGCGGGAATATCAGGATTTGAGGTAGCCGTTACTATATCTTGCGTTTTGGATGGAGTCCCGATGAGAGGATATGGGCCATCAGCCAATGGTTTTCCAGCGGCCATGATGCTTGGTTTCTCGGAATGTAAACGTGGTAGTGGGGGACAGGTTGTGGGGACATACGAGTATAAGCGCTTAAAGCAGGCCAGAAGTGAAGTTCTTTGATAGAGCGAGGACACCAAGAAATCCTTCCACTTAGCCGAATATCGATTAATCTCATTGCGTGTCCGAGTCACTCTATCCTTTAAAGAACATTCAACTATTGAAGCTTTACACAGTTTTAAGACAATGCAACGACAACTATCTTTGCCGCCACCCTTTTTTCCCCTAAAAATTTGTACAAGTTAGCCGAGTCATAAATGAGCGGCGCAGAGGCTCTTGTGGTCATCAACATCATCACAAATGTCGTAGCTCTAGTCGGCTTCAGCCGCAAAGTCGTCTCTCAAGTCAGAGAGTATGGCGAGAAGGCCGATGAAGTCCCAGAAGCTTTTCGGGATATTGAAACTACATTGCCGCTCTTCGCTAATACCCTAAGTCAAGTTCAATGGACAGTTGAACGCAAAGATGTTGGCGAAGACTCATGCAGGGCCCTGAGCCCCGTTCTGAAAGGGTGTGAGAGAAAACTAGAGCAGTTGAAGGCGATTTTTGAGGATGTCCTCGTGCAAAAGAACGCCTCCAAACTGGAACGTGGTTGGAAGGCAATCAAAAGCGCCAGAAAGGAGAAAGAGGTCAAAGAGATTGTCCAAACGCTTGACAGATTCGCCTTGCATTTAAACCCCTACAATCTCAGAGGACTAGTCGGTCTGGAAGATATGCAATTGTTGACATCGGCTATGGCTTCAACGAGTGTCGAGCAGCCGGCTGCAAAGCCTCCAAAGACTTATTTTATGGTCCCAGTCCAAGTTTCCAATGAGTTCACTGGTAGACAGGAGGTGATGGCATCTTTAGAAGAAAGTCTTTGCCTTGATGACCAATATTCTCGACTGGCCTTGATCGGCTTAGGTGGTATGGGGTAAGTGATCGAATAGAAGAGGGGAACCTGCGCCTCAGAATCTGCCTTCAAGCTCAGTCTTAGCTAATCAATCGGATCGAACAGAAAGACGAAGATCGCCTTGCAGTATGCTCAAAGATTTAAAAGCCATCTCAAGGTATCAGTGTTTTGGGTATATGCTGGAACCGTTGAACGTTTCAAAAATGCCTATCGCCAAATAGCACGAAAGCTAGGCATTCCAGGATCGGAAAGTCCAGAAGCCAATATCCTCGAGCTCGTGAAGGAAAGACTTGAGAGCGCCGACTTTGGCAAGTGGCTGATGATTCTCGATAATGCAGACGATGAAGAAATCATGTACGGACAAGGTTCTGCTCGTCTTTGTCAACATCTACCGCGATCATATCAGGGTTCAATCTTGTTGACTTCTCGTTTCGGCCATGTTGGGAGGAAGTTCGCGAAAACAAACATCATCGAACTTCCGTCAATGACTTTAGCTGACTCCACATCCCTCTTGATCTCGCTCCTTGGCAACAACTTTCCTTATACACCGAAGGAGTCGTGCATTGAGCTCGTAGAAGAGCTTTCGCGCACACCTTTGGCGATCGTACAAGCAGCGTCCTTCATGCTGGAAAATGACGTGTCTCTTAACAGCTACCTGGACATGTTCCGCCAGAGCGACACCTCACAAGTGCGACTGCTGAGTGAGGACTTTGAGGACGAAGTACGAGATTCTCAATCCAAAAACCCCATAGCAACCACCTGGGTCATCTCTTTTGAGTGTATCAGGTCGCATTTTCCACAAGCCGCAGAGTTGCTGTCAATGATGAGCATGGCTGATGCCCAAGCAATTCCCGAATTCTTGATACAGCGGGACGGGGAAGACGTCATTTCTTTCAGCAAGGCTATTGGCACTCTCCGAGCCTTTTGTTTCATTACTGAGAGACAGAAATCTGAGGACGCTGATCTACAAAGCCGGCTCTTCGATCTACACCGATTGGTTCGCCTTGCAATGCGGAATTGGCTCAAAACAAATCATGAGTTCCATCAGTGCTTACTACGGACAGTGGAAATTTTCACTTGCAAGTCCTACCACCGAGAAGAGAGCTTGAAATATAGCATCTCATCTTTGATCATGCCACATATCATGGAAATACTAAAAGCGGATCAACTACAGCCTTCCAATGGCACATTGCCTCTATCAGAAATACTTTCGAATTTGAACTTGTGGAACGATGGTCATCTTTTCGGGGATGCATGGAATGAAGATATGGGAATTGATGACAAAGACGAGGATGACCACTCTGAAAATGGTGATTCTGCGGAAGGCATCGACGACGCCGAAAACGACAACGACGCCGACAATGGCAAAAGCGACGACGACGTGGATACGAAGGCTCTCAATCATGCATCAGAACTACTCTGCTATGCTTCTCGGAGGCTTCTTGAGATTTCAAACCCTGCACAAGCGAAGATCTACGCGACCAAAAGCTTACAAATTAGTACTCAAGTTGGCCTTGAAGGTAGTGGTGCGATGTCTGACAGCATAGGGAGCTTAGCAAATATCTTAGAATACATGGGTGGGCTAAACGACGCAGAGCAGCTTCGAAGAATACATCTGCGATTCTCGGAAGCCAAGTATGGGAAATACGATGTGAGATCGTTGAGAAGTCTACGAAGATTATATCTCCTGATCACTATCAAGTCGAAAGAACAGGAAGCCTGCAAGGCTAGGGATCTTTTGCTAAAACGGTTGCAGAAGTATTTACTTCTCAACAGTGGTAAAGAGGATCCATTCATGCTACTGAATGCTGGAAATGGCCAAATCTTCTATGGAAACCTTGCCGAGGCTGAAAGCTATTTCGCATTGTCTCTACAACGCTTCCAGGCAATCCACAGTGATAGGGGTTACATGGCGCTGGACGGTCTGGCTGATACATATCGTCGTCAGTCCAAATTTAACGAAGCGGAAGGAACTCAAAGGCAAGCCTTAGAAGCTGCAATCAGGTTTAAAGGGCCAAAGTCCCTCTTAGCAATATTGTACAGAATTTCTTTGTCCAAAATTTTGGTTGCGGTGGGGAAGAATGAGGAAGCAAAAATCGAAGCATCGATCTCCCTCAATCTGACTCAGGAAATCCACGGTCCGACAAGTAAGAAATACCTGCTGGCATTGGATAAATACAGAAGTATACTCCAGACGGAACCCTCGGCCGACGAATCAGGGAAATAATATCGTAGGGCATAATCTCAATTGACCTTGGTAGCTCATCCATTTGCCGGTCTCGGCGAGTATGCCACATCGCAAAGCTGCAAATCTTACGATAGACAACAGAAGTTCTAGCAAAATTGCAGTCTCAGAGGCTGAAGTCAGAGGAGAACATCGAAATCATGCTTGAGGATCTCTCAAAGCTTTTCCAAACGCAGCTGTGAGCGGAAGGCCGAAGTCAGCGCTTGCCAGAAGTACAAAGATGTACTGTGTAGGGTTTGGTATTTTCATCTGAACAACCGTCTCACTATGGCAAAATGCCAAAGTGCAGATTTATGCCTCGAGTCTAATTGCACATGTTCTTGGAGCGGGGGTCTGGTACGGAGTGTATGAGATCACCAGATATGGTATTGTAGCTTTCGCGTGTACCGTCAAAGTCAATGTCGGACTTTGGGCTGGGCTTGGCCAGCTCCTAGCTCTTCTCAATGTGCTATGTGTTGGCAATATGATAGGCTATGTTCAATACAATTAGGGCTAGGGCTATATATGAATGCTATGTAAATAGATCGCATATATAGATAGGTAGAACATAAGGAAAGAACTTCATGCAGTGGGCATGGGCCTGATATAAATGCAAAAAGTCGCTTGCCAAATCACTGGAGATTCGTTCCTTCGAGTCATTCGAATGTTTGCCTATAGCTATATAACTATAGCCCTCAGCCACATTGTAACTAATGGTCATAAGCTGTGGCTAATGGTTATAAGCTATTAAAACTAATACTCTCTCTTTATTTAGCTATTGAAAAGATAGAAATAATAAAGTAAATAGTTAATATTACTTTTCGAAAAAATCTTTATAGAGAAAGTAGAGAAAGTAGAGAAATAACGTAAACTTTTAATACGGCTCTCTAGTTTATTCTCTTAGAATACGTAATAGCCCTTATATATAGTAAGATTATTTTAAGAAAGTAGATTTAAGTCTTATATAATATCGAATTTTCTCGATAGCGATCTTCTAATTAATTAAATAGCTATATATCTTAAATAGTTCTTTATACTATTTAAATAGCTTCTTATTTAGCGATTTAGTAAGAATATCTACTATTATTTAAACTATAAATATATAATCTATATTAACTATCTTATTCTTAACTAATTAATAAATATAATAATATTAAATATCGATATATTTAATTCTTTAATAATACTCGAGATTCTTTATAAGACTAATAATTCTCTTATTATCATCGAGTAATATTATAGAGCCTTTATCTAATACTCGAAAATAAACTTCTTATAATCACCGTATAATTTATACGATAATCTTATCTTCTTTTATTAGAGTTATATACTTAGCTTCTATAGTATATATAGCTACTTCTCGCTATTTTCGACTATATTATAAATATACTACTTATTTATATAGTAAGACGAATTTATAAATAAACTTATAATTCTTCTAATTATTATTATATACTAAATCCGCGAATTCTTTTAGTATTTCTATCTCTTAATAGCGTAATTCTAGAGATATAATATCTTATATATACTTAAATACTTAATTTATAATATTTATATAGTAAATAATAAGATTATTATTAAGGAATAGTTCTTAATATCATAATATTGGTGTGGTGTAAAGTTGTTCTATTAATCTATGTGGTCTGCAGGCACATATGTGCGGAGGGGAGGCGCGCTAAGGCCTAATGAGGAAGGTGTACCGAGTGTGAAGGATTGATCCGTAACAATTGCCCACAAAAAACAAGAAAAATGCCATGTCCTCATGGCAAGAAGTATGCATGCATGAATGAGTGAGTTTTCGAAATGCCGGAAAGGAATGGAGACGCCAGGCTAATTAGTGGTGTGCATCCCACGAGTTCTCTTGCCGCAGTGAAGCCCTTCGAATAGTACCGGAGCAAGACATCAGACGGTTTGATGTTCCTCCTGCAGAGGCCCAATTGGCTGTGATCGTCGCAGTAGATCCTTCTCTTGTGTGCTCATTGCAGTGATGTACCACAATGTGATATTGCCCAGGCATGTGGAGACAGTAGGCCAAATCGTAGTGGTGTTCTCCGCTTGCTGAGTGATGATTTGACGCGGGATCGTGGAGAGCTGAGCCATGTTCTTGACGATGGTGGCCTTGTTGCCGCTTGGTTTCTCCGCAGTGTTCTCCGTAATTGCCTGTAGTGGTTCCTCCTCTTGCTTTGACTGAGTGATTGGCTGAGGGGTTGACTGAGCGGCTGGCTGAGTGACTGGCTGAGTAGCTGGCTGAGTGGCTGGCTGAATGGCTGGCTGAATGACTGGCTGAGTGACTGGCTGAGTGATTGGCCGTGATTGAGGGTGTTCGACACTTGGAAGGATTTGACTTGGTTGCTGGCGAAACTCATTACGTAGTTGACCCATTTCAGTTCTTATTATGTCTTGAATTTGAGCTATTAGGCCCTGAACCTGATCTTTCGAGAAGCCGGGGATGAATGGAATGGAATCGAAAGTAGGCATAGTGATGGCCTATTGAAAGGTTCACTTGCTTGTGTGCTTGTTTGCGTGTAGTGACTCTGCGTGACGGGCTGAGTGCTGATAGATGAGCGCTATGGATGTTATTTGCGTGTAGTGACTCTGCGTGACAGGCTGAGTGCTGATAGGTGAGCGATGTGGGTGTTGAGGTAGGTAGAGGCGTAGCGTGATTGGCCAGCACTGTGGATGAGCGAATAAATTCAATAGACTCCTGTTGAGTGATCTTCAGGTGTTGCTACCATTTGTTAAGGAATAGTTCTTAATATCATAATATTGGTGTGGTGTAAAGTTGTTCTATTAATCTATGTGGTCTGCAGGCACATATGTGCGGAGGGGAGGCGCGCTAAGGCCTAATGAGGAAGGTGTACCGAGTGTAAAGGATTGATCCGTAACAATTATAATAGAATTAACTAAGCTTTTCTATAATAAAGACTAAGTTAATTCGTATATTAGTTATAAAAAATATAAAACTTTCTATCTACTTTTAATATTATAGCTAATTTATATATTCTTCTTCTAATTAATCTAGTTAAAGTAACTTATATTTATCGATAAAAATATAAATAAAAATCGCCTAATTTATTAAATATTCTTTAAGTATCTTTTTAATATACTATGCTTATTTAATAATTAAGATATAAGATTTTTAGTTATAGTAAATTTAAATATCGAGAATATAATTAACTAAGCCTACTTCGATAGCCTTAAATTCTTTATAAATTTAATACTTAATATAGTTTATAGTACTTTATAACTTAGCTTTAATAAGAATATCGTTTATATAAAATATTATAATAGCTATTCTCTTTAATAATACTCGAATAAAGATATAGCTATTAGCTATAGTAATTATAAATCTTATTTCTTAATAATATACTTATAAGAGCGTAGTTCACTAACGATTAGCTAGCGGGCATAGACTATAAAAGACGTAGTGTCGTTATAGAATTTAATAGTATATTTAATAGTAGAACTAATCTCTAAGAAACACCAAAACTCCGAGGTATACAAAGTAGACCTATGTCCGCCAAGCCCCTAAGCATATGAGATATATTATTAAAACTAAATTCTAAAAGGAACTCTAATATAAAATATACGATGTCGGAGTCTTAGCGTAAGTAGCGTTAAGGCCTATAACGTATTAAATTTAATAATTACCTCTCCTTTTAGACCTTAATTTTTAAGCGTCTAAGTAAAAATAGAACGCTTATTAAAAAACCTTTAAACTCTAGTAGGGAAATAAGAGAAAAGAGTTAATTCGTTAAGGTTATAATATCGTTTTAATAACGCGGTAAAATTAATTCTTACGCGTTATAAGCGCGTAACTAATATATTATATAATAATATTAATACTATCTTCGAGAATAACATCGCTATTATAATATTAATTAATAGTAATCTATAGTAAGTCGATACGCTTAATATTAGCGTTTTTATAGCGCTAGTTAATAGCCCCTATAGCGAATAATATTAGATTTAAAAATTTATAATAAAACCTCGAAAACTTAGTAGGTAAAGAAGGAAGAAGAGTTTCTCTATAAGTAACGTCGTTTTTATAACGTATTACGTTTATAGCGAAGCAACGTAATAATAACCTTTATTATAGGAATTCGAAGGGAGTAATTAATAGAGCGACGCGTCTGCGATAATGTTCTTAATTGTTAATTAATAATAATAGTAGAAATAATAACGATAGCTAGGCGATGCGATTCTATAGATAGTAGCGAAATATTATTACGTCGCTGTTATCTATATTACTAGATGCTACCCGCTAGTAATAGCGCTATAATAGAGAATATAAAAATTCCTTTCGAATTATTTATTTTTATTCTTCGCAACTTTTAATATCTCTCTTATAAGTACTTACTCTAACGCTATAACGTTAATATTAATACTAACGTAAATATAGTATATCTTATTATATTAATAGTCTACTTCTCATTATTATAAGTACCTTATTATTATTAATTACGTCGATACGTAGGCTAATAATTTTATAGTATCCTTTTTTAATAATAATAATAACTTTAATAGTAAGTATATAGTCGCCCTATAGGCGCGATTACTAATCCTTAACTATTTTTATTACTATCGCTTCGTATACGTAACTACTAATAAGTTCTAATATCTAATTTATTATATAGAACTTACTTTTATTAAGGCGACGATTTATATATTTAAGATAAGTCTTTCTTCTATGATAACTATAAGGCCGAAAGGCGCGGTATTAACCGCTATATTAAAATTCTTCTATATCTTTAGACGCAGATAAGGAAATTAATATAGCGCCATCGCCGCGCTAGATAATCTTGAAAGCTATCTCGCCGACGAGCTAAGCTTAGTAAGAAGATTATCTAATAGCGTAAGTTATAGAGATATACGATGGCGACGACTTCAGTCGCCCCTATTATAATTATAGATCTTTAAGGCCAGCTTATGACGGTATATAAGCGTATAGAGGAATTAAAGGGAATAAACGAGTTACTGAAGAAGAAGCTCGAGAGTCTTTATCGATATATGACGAACGTCGACGAGTATTAATATAAAGATTATACTTTAACTATCTCCTTATTAGAGAACTAAGTTAATAAACTTGACTCGAGATCTAATATTAAAATAGTGGAGAATATTTAAGTAGCGATCTTTTTTTAGTAGTAGCGCTGGCGTAAGGTCTCTAGATAGTTCTTTAATAGCTACTTTAAATAAAAATACGCCTATATTAATAGTATATACTTTAATATAATAAACCCCCTCTATAGTAGAATTTAGTAGATAATTAAATAATATAATTATTTTATTAATTTATATCTTAATAATAGTAATTATAGAGGAGTACGCGTATAGTATAAGTATTATCTAGAAATATATCTAACCTAGTCGATAGTTATATCTTATTTCATTATCTTTACTTACTTATTATTAATTTATATAATTAATTAAGCTCTTTAATAATAAGAGACTTATTATTTATTATTTAATACTTACGCTTACTATTCGCTTACTTATAGACTTAGATTAGCTTACTAGTATTAATAAATTCGTTATTTAATAATTATTAATTATACTCTTTACTCTAATTAATCTATTTAACTTTATACTAGATATCTTTCTTATACTTAATCTTATTAATAATTTCTTCGATCTCTTAAAGCTTATCGTTATTGATAAGATTAAGAGCTTATATAAAGGCTTTCGCTATATTATCGTAATCGCGAAGGTAATAAGACTTAAATAACGATATATAAAAGATATTATAGATTCTATATATCGGGGGTAGAAGTAGGCGGTACGCCTACGCCCCTACTTTATCTGTGATTCGAAATAATTCTACGAATTTATAAGATAACTTCTTACTTAGGCGTTTCTGCTTTAAATTCTTAATCGCTAATATTATTAAATCGTCTACTTTATAGCTTTAAGATTAATATATTTTATTATAATACTTAAACTAAGTCGTAACAGCGCTGCGAAGACGCTCTACTATCTTATCCCTTAATATTTATAACTTCTTTACCCTATTATTTATAGCGAGTACCTCCCCCTTAATAAAGTTATCCTCGATCTCTTAACGAATTTTAGAATAATATTTATATATTAGAAAGAATAATATCGTTTTGATAGAGGAATATTAATTATTTATATAAGCGAACTCTATTATTAATAGTTATTTCGCTTAAACGTTTTACTTATTATTAGCGAATACGCGTAAGAAATATTTTAATATTTAGTTTTACCGCTTAGTCTATTCGTTAATTTACGAGTAAAAGGCGATACTTAGATATCGCTTAATTTTAAAATAGAAGTAAATAATAGACTAGAAGCTACTAGTAAATATAGAGCCTCTATTACTAATAATATCGTTTAATATATTATAGCGATATACTATTTCGAAATAAAATACTTTTATTAGCTAAGCGATATCGATCGTAGTAGATATAGAAATATATCTTATTATTTTTATAAATCGATTTACTATAATTAGAATAGTATCGTAGATAATATTCTTATACTTACTCGCTAATAAGCCGATAATAAAGTTTATAGAAATTTCTTTTTATAGCTTAGTAATAATGGAAAGCGAGCTTAATTCGCTATATAGGCGATGCCGCGGAGCTTTAATTCGCTAATAAATATTATATATCTTAATATAATCAATAACTTACTTTAAGCTTTTATTTTAATAATATTTGCGGGTAAGTAACTTATACGTCTTTATAGCGTTAAAGTATCTTGATAATAGATTATTATAATATTTATTAATAAGCTCTTCTCTTAAGGCCTTATTTCTAGGGATATAAAGGCGATTATTATATCTTAATAGTTCTTTAAAGTCTAAGACCTATACTTAACTACGTACGCGACGCTTAACCGCGGGCTCATTAATATTAGTTTAAAAAGAGTTTACCCAATTATTATAGGCTTATAAATCTCGAATTAATATTTTTATTAGCCTTTAAAATACGTTATAAGTAATCTCTTATATAGTCTTAAACTTCCTTCTAGAAATAACTATCTAGACGCTAATAATATAAAATACAGGCGCTATAACCGCTATAAACTTCTTATTTCTTTATAACTACTCGCCGCTAGTTTAAAGTATGAGTTTATTCTATAGTATCGACAATAGTTTAGTATTTAACGACGAAGTTTTCTTATAATTAAGGCGTCGCGATAGCGAGTTAATAAGATTTAGTTTATCTATTTAATAAAAAATCTTAAAGTTATAAATAGCTAACTTTAGCGCCTAACGGGCTTATTTAAAATTTAGTTTCTTCTATTTTATAAAGTCTTTAAGATTATTATAGTCTATTAAAATCTTAATATAAAATATACTACCCTCTAGATAGTAACGCTATTACTTTATAGACGCTATAATAACGAGTAGCTCTTAATTATAGATCTTATAGTTTTACTTCGTAGAAATTATTTTCCTAGACTAGAATATTACTAATTATTAATAGTTATTCTTATTCGATTACGAAAGT